GGGGATGCAGCATTTGGGCTGATAATTCAAGCACCAGTGAGAATTCTGAAGTTGGGGTGTTAACAACAGCCATGGCTTCATCTCTTTGGGGAAGTGGAGCAAAGAATGGAGTTAAAACAGAAATTTACCCAGGCCAGACTTGCTGTGGAGCCCCTTGCTCTGCCCTTTCAAATGTGGATTTCTGAGAAAGGCCTGTAAAGGCACTTGGTGTGACAACATGGATCACAGTGAGGGAGGCAAAAAGGAGCCTGCTGTCCAGGAAGCAGGGAGCAGAGAGGCCTGGGCTGTTCCTCTCATCAACCCTGCAGAGTCTGGCTGGGGCCCTAAGAGCAGGGCTGTTTCTTTCTGGGCTTTTTTTTTTTTTTCCCAGTGCAAACAACTGTACTTCCCCATCGTGGGAGTGTGTGGAAAGCCAACGTGACAGAGAGGGCTCCAGGCTGGCCGCTGCACTGACACAGGAGACCCCTTGGAGCAGGTTTACCCAACACTGCCCTTCATGTGAGTGCCACCAGCCACAGCCCAGCTGTTTCCCCAGGTGGAAACTCACCTTCCTTCACCCCAATTCACTAGTAAGTTGGATACAAATGAGATATTTTCTTCTTCTAATTAATCTTCATGGACCTCATAGGCTGAGCAAAACAAAACACAATTTTCTCTAAAGGATGACTCCCTGGCCAGGTTACAAGCTGTTCAAGATGGGAATTAGAGGCAGCAAAGTCACCCCAAGCAAAGGCCAAACAGATAGGAGAGCAGAGACAATCATAAGAGTAGAGAGGAAAGTATGTATATGCATGTGTATGTGTGCTGGGGAGGTGTTGCAAATGAGAATGTTACAGCAGAGGAATTCATGGTACAGAATCTTAATTCTCCAGGAAATTAAGGCAAAAAACTTTTTTAAAAAGGTCTTAAAAGCTGCTGGTGTGATTCCAAAAGACTGAGAAACTCAGCAGTGATGGTGAGTTCACTTTTTAGAGGTGCCTCAACTACAAAGTACTTCTCCCACAGTCAGGAACATTTCCCCTCCAACACAAGTGTGCACATGTGCACGTGTCCTGTCCCTCTCTGGGAGGGCACACAACTCAGAGAGCTTCCTAAGGGTCTCCAGCCTCAGGTGGTAAGTCACTGGCTGAGGGAGGAGGTGGTCCTAGAATACTGATGTGGGTTTCCAGCATCTAAACAACAGTTTAGAGAAATACAGGCCAGGTGTGGTGGCTCATGCCTATGGTCCCAGCATTTTGGGAGGCCAAGGTGGGATGATCACTTGAGGCCAGGAGTTTGAGGCTGCAGTGAGCTATGATCTTGCCACCACATTCCAATCTAGGTGACAGAAGGAGACCCTGTGTCTAAAAAGAAAGAAAGAAAGAAAGAAAAAGAAAGAAAGAAAGAAAGAAAGAAAGAAAGAAAGAAAGAAAGAAAGAAAGAAAGAAAGAAAGAAAAGCAAACCTCTCCACACAATTCATCTGACCACACATATCTTCTGTGCACTGTAGAGACCAAACTCCGAAGTCCACGTCTGACCAGGTGATCTCAGACAGACGGGATGTCCAGGAACTTTTCCCTCCTCAAATCCCTACAGACGTTGGCAGGTAGTCTTTAAACCAGGCTCTCCTTGTTGAGCACAAAGGAGCTGCTTCTCATCCTTCCCAAACTCACCCGAGCAGGCAGTGGGAAGGGAGGCGCCAGCAAGCCAAAGGAGGCTTTTCTCAACTGATCATCTTGGGAAAAGCTAGATACAGATTTCATGGCTGGAATGCAAGGGTTGTGAAATGCTGAAGAAGCCCCAAAGAGGGCCAAGGACTCTCCTTCCGGGAAGGCAGTGGGAGGAGGGCTGGCAACAAAGAGCGGGAGAGGAGCAGGTTACCCAGGAAGCCTGCCTTTCTGGAAAGGAAGAAATAGACCCTCAAAATGGAAAGAAATCCCCTAGCCCTGAGGTGGTAGAAAAGCTAAAGATAGGGTTGTTTTTGTTTCTGCACATGAAGGAAATAAGGTCTTATGTCACAAAATAATTTTGGTATAAATGAGCCAATTATGACATAGCTTGTTATTTCTGGGATTTGGAATCACCGAGGCTCATGGCATCTCCTAGGAGTTATTTAACTCCCCTAGAGTTAAATAAGCCCAATATGCTTCTAATATGAGGCTTTGGCCTTGTCCTTGGTGCCATGTAAGAGGTCCTGATTCATGCTGCAACTTGTTAGATGAATTCCACCAGTAAGGGTCATTATTTTCTCAGAGATATAGTCTGATGTGTCCCACATGGGGTCTCTGAGAATGGGGTAAGGAAGATTACACCCGTTTTAATGGCTGATAGATGGCTGTAAGCTCTATCCCTTTCTAACTGTGGACAAGATACTTATTAGCCTCTGTACCTCATCCATTATAGGGGGATATGTAAGATTATTGGCCACAGGGTGGCTATGAGGATGAGTTAAATGAATGGTGGTAGAGAGTAGCTGGCACATTACCTAGTATAGAACAAGTACTAATAAAGTGTTAGCTGCTGCTGAGGTGTGAAAAGAGCAAGTGTTTGACGCCCTCAAGTAGGCCAGCACCCGGCTGCTAATGCCCAGGCTTCATCAGCTGCTCGGAGCCTCTGATCTAGCTCTGTATCTTCCTCAGACCACAGGCAAACCCGCAAAGACCTATGCATCAGAGATCCCTGGCCCAGAAGTCCTGACTAAGGGGAAATGAGATGTGCAGACAAAATAAGGCCCAAGCTGGCTGCACCCCGACAGGGAGAGGAGCAAACACTGGTGCCAGCACATTTTGGGTCAGCTTTTTCAGTTGCATTCCATGTGGTGTATCTGAAACGGGGTCAGGTCCCAGAGTGGGCAGCACAGATATTACCATCGAGCTCACTGATCTGAACTGAGTCCATCATCATCGATCCTGAGATAACAGGAAGCTTGAGTCTCACAGGCTCGAGGGGTGTGCTGGAAAATGTTCTTGGCAAAGGAGGAGGAGAAACTATTTTTCAACCAATTGCTGACAAATTGGTAACCAGCACCAAGAGCCTCAGAGGAAACATTCTAAACCCCTTGGACTGCAGATCCTGGCACTTTAGAATCCTGACTGGGCATTAAACCTTCAGGAAGGGGAGACAACTCCTGGCACCTCAAATCTATTCCCACCCCTCTTTCTCTGTATCTCAGCCAACTCAAGCCAAAGGGTAGAAACTGTAGCCTCTTCACCTTATATCTTCAGAGCCTTTGGACCAGAACCAATACCCTACAGCCCAGTTAGGGTGTGGGCTGAGTCTGGGCTTATGTGTATGTCTAGGAGCCCAGGGCCATGTGCCCCCTTGCAATGTCTGGGGGTGCAGTAGCTGGAAGTGCCCCCAAGCCAGTGAGTGAGATCTCAGGCCTGTCCCAGATACACAAGAGGGGCAAGAAGGGTGTATCTCTGCAGGAGCCTGTGCCCTTCTGCCTAGAAACCCCAGGCTTCTAGAGGCAAAAAGCCATCTGGACTGAGACTGTCTCCAAGTTATAGGCCTTCCAGTACCTCTGGCTTCCGAACAGTGCCAACAAGGTCCAAAGCGAGAAGCCAAGCTTAGGGAATGGGAAGGAGTATAGCCCTGGAAAGGGTCCAGACTCACAGGTAGAGAGCTTCCATATGTCCTATGACCCCGTGTGGCCATCTGCTGCTGCCAGGGGACAATCAGGATGCCTCAAGCCAGCTACTTCAGATCAGCTGGCTGGAGAAACCCACAGGCTGGAGTTAAAAGCTGTGGTGGTAGTGAAGCCTTCTCCAGGCTCTTGCCAAAGAGCTCAACTCTCAGGACAGCCCTGTTCCCAGAGTAACTCTATTCCAGTCAGGTCCCAGGAGGCAGCCTCGACTTTAACCAGCCAGGCCTCCCCTGTGCTATCCTCTTGAGTTCCTTTCCCTGCTTATTAAAATTCTAAGGCACCCTCAGGGTCCATGCCATGTTCTTCCTCCTCCAAGACACCCTCCCTAACTACCCTAGATCTTGTGGACTGTCTTTTCTGTAACGCACTGAAGCGTTACTATTTCTGGGAACCACGATCAGTAACTGGAGCTAGAATCCAGAGAAGCAGCCATTTACAACAAATCACATCTACAGCCAGATGCATGCCATTAAAAGGAAGAGCCTGTGCACCCCAGATGGCCCCCTGGGTCCTGAGCTTGTCAGATAGCAAGTGTGTAATAAAGACTTCTTAGAAGAAGGTTAGATCACCCTGGTCTTGCAGGATGATTGACCCCCCCGCTTTCAGCCCAAGACACAGCAATTTCCTCCTTGGCAGGCAAGGTTCTTGCTTTGGGCTGCCAGCCCCCAGGTATCTCCTGCCAGCAGCTATTCCCTAGAGCTGCCCTGGGACTAATGGCAGAGGGGGATGCCCAGGTCCAGTCCTGTCGATCACTCATCCCCTCTATCAGAGGAAGAGAGGTTGGCAGGAAGCGGATCTGACCTCTGGGGTGGCCAGTCTCTCCTAAGGGCTACAGGAGCCCCTGGACAGGCAGCAGAGGCCTGCAAAGGACTTCCTTTCCCTTCCCTGGGCCCCCAGGGAAGAGAGGCAGGAAGAAGGGCCTCAAAAGCAGGCAACCAGTATGGGGCTGGCCAGAGAGGGAGGCCCCCAGGGTTGTAGCTATCAGCCGGAGACCAGGCTCCAGGAAGGAAGGAAGGGCAACTCTAGCTGAGACTGAGATAAGGAGGGAACCATGCTCAGCACAATGGGCTCCCACAAGGCTGGGAGGCCCCAAGTCAGATTTCACCTCAACCTGGCCTCCTGTCTGTTCACACGGCTGATGTAAATATTTACTGATGTTTATGTTCACAGTCTGCTGGGTCCCCTCTGAGGCCCTCTCTTATGACCCGCAGATAGATCTGTGTGCCCCAGACCATGCCTGCTCTTAAGCCTAGAGACCCTGGGCCCATCCAGCAAGGGCTATGTACATTGTTCTCTCTCATGCAATCCACAGGGACAGGCCCTTCAGAACAAAACTGTCCTCTTGTTCCAGCCCTGGGACACTGGGGAACTTACGGGGCCCGGTCGTGGGCGAGGCCATTCTGCCGCTGAGGGTTGATTGGTGGAAGGACAGGTTTGCTGTTGATCTCGAGTCCTCTCCTCAAGGTCTCCCGGATCTGCTCTGTGTCTGCAACAACACCACTAAGTTGCCCAGTGGCCCAGTGGGGTCCCAGCAACTCCCACCCTGCTCTTGAAACCTGGCTTAGCAGAGGTACTAAGAAAAACTACCATGCTGGTCCTTTCTATGCATCCAGATGTGAGCGCTGAGTGACTACAGACTGTGAGGGGACAAGCATGTTCTTAAGAAGCTCTGGTTTGGAAGAGTGCCATTCTTGTAGAAGCCAGAATTCTAGAGTTCAGAAGGGTGGTCTCTCCCATCCTTTTCCTTCCTGTGTCACAGGCCTGAGGTTTACCTTTAACATGGTCAATCCCCAGTGGTCAGTCTCTGTGTGGAGAATGGATGCACGTTAAGGCCACAAGCACCCTGCCAAGAATGGGAAGCTGCCTCTCACATACCTTTCTGGGTTCTGGGTGGTCAACTAGCATCTGACCCTGCCACCCCTTCCCCTTGTACTCAAGTCAGTGAGATACTGAGATCATCTCTCACCTTGGCCTAACCCAGGAAACTCTGCCTCTCCATGGAGAGGCAAGGGCCAGGAGGTGAAAGAGTTCCCTTGGTGGGATTATTTCTTCACAAGGTGCTTTGCTGGTCTTTGGGGTGAAGCTTACTACTCTGGTCCCCTATACTGAGATTTGGATCTAAGATTTATCTCTGCAAATTGTAAACACATACAAAAAAGCAAATTAAAATTAGTTGCTCAAAGAGTGGCCTCAGACTGTGAAGGAGATGATTACTAACTTTTCTAAGTATTTAACTTGTTACAGTGAGATGGATTACTTCTATAATTTTTTTTAAAAAGCCAATAATGCTTGAAATCTTAGACAAGAGTATGACTATCTCTTTAAGTCACCTCTTTGGTCAAAAGCAACCAAATGATTCTAATAACTGTATACCCTCTCTTTAAGCCTCCAATAGGCTTGGCATACCATTAGAACAAACAGGAAGGAAAGAAAGGGCTCGGCCGGGTGTGGTGGCTCACATCTGTAACCCTAGCATTTTGGGAGGCTAAGGCAGGTGGATTGTTTTGAGCTCAGGAGTTTAAGACCAGCCTGGGCAACATGGCAAAACCCCAACTCTACAAAAAATACAAACATTAACCGGGCGTCGGTGGCGTATATCTGTAGTCCCAGCTACTTGGGACACTGAGGCTGGAGAATTGCTTCAGCCTGTGAAGTGGAGGTTGCAGTGAGCCAAGGTCAAGCCACTGTACTCCAGCCTGAGCAACAGAGACCCGTCTCAAAGAAAAAAAGAAAAAAAAAAGGGCTCAAATATTTGAACTAGGGGTTTAAGTTTGTTCTTTACAGAATGAACAAAAACCTTTTATAAGTATTATCATATGTTTATTTTATTTAGGGCTGTAGACATTCTTCAAAAAATAAAAGATGGGGCCAGGCGCAGTGGCTTACGCCTGTAATCCCAGCACTTTGGGAGGCCGAGGCGGGTGGATCACAAGGTCAAAAGATCGAGACCATCCTGGTCAACAAGGTGAAACCCTGTCTCCACTAAAAATACAAAAATTAGCTGGGCATGGTGGCGCGTGTCTGTAGTCCCAGCTACTCGGGAGGCTGAGGCAGGAGAATTGCTTGAACCCAGGAGGCGGAGGTTGCGGTGAGACAAGATCGCGCCATTGCACTCCAGCCTGGGTAACAAGAGCGAAACTCCGTCTCGAGGAAAAAAAAAAAAAAAAAAAGATGGAAGAATGAAGAAAGGAAGTAGACAAAGAAGCTGTCAACACATGTATATGTAAGTGGCTGCTTTTCCTTTGCAGTTATTTGGGGACGTCCTCTGCTAAAAACCACAACTGTTTCTGTAGCCAAGGTCAGCATAGGGAGATTCCAACAGGACAGCCACATCCTCCTTCCCCAAGACCCCATCCGGAACGCAGTGCAGAGGCCCTGCCCACATCGCCTAACCCTGTATCTGTATGACAGGAGGTGGGGCAATTTGCAAGCTGGCCTCATACTCACGCCTCTCTTGTCGAAGGCCTGGGAGGGCTCGAGGCCAGAGTGAGCCTTGGATCTGGCATGTCCTTCAGGCCAGAGCTGGGCCCTGTGTCAATTCCGTGGGTGGCCAACACTTGTTCTCTTGCACTTGGGTGGACTATGGACTTTTCCTGTAACTGTTCTAAGGCTTCCACTGACCTCTATGACCTCAGATTGCAAGGGGCAAATCTAAAATACAATGGTGCCTGCTGGTGATGCATTTGAAATACACACAGGAAACACAGCTAGAAATGGGCCAGTAAAGCTCCCTTAATTCCACTCTGCTGGAAGACTTTACTTGCTGTTTAAATCATGCCAGGAAATAAACCATTGAATGGGTTGTTTTTGTTAGAGACCCATCCTAGAGAGCCTGGAAACCAGGCCTGGGGAAAAGGAAGGAGAAAGGCTGGGAGAAGGCTGGGTGACGGCGCCCACCTTTGCCAGAGAGCCGCCGGGGCTGTGTGCCGATGCAGATGCTCCGGCTGTCCTCGTCATCCTCGGGGGGCCGGCTCAGGTCGTCCCAGGCACATTTGGCACTGACACCACTCAGGTTGGAGCCGTCTGTCTCAATGCCTTTGTCAACTCTCTCCTGCTTGAAAAGAGCCAAAGAGCCAGAGTTCTTTCAGAGAACTGGTGGCCCAAGGTCACCATCCTTTCAGCCACCATTCAGTATTTACTGAGCCCTTATGGTGCTGAACACAGGACAGATGCTGGAAGAGCAGGGTCTCTGACCTTGTTCTGCCCTGATTATCAATGCATAATAGTCTCTGCCAGCTCTTGGACTCCTCCAGGGGAACCAGGGATTAGGGGAAGCCAGGAGGAATCCAAATCCCAAGCAAAGCATCTCCTCTACTATCAACCTTCCAGTACAATGGCCTCTACCTGTTTCAGAGCCCCAAACCTGTCCCGCCAGACTGACTGGTAGAGCTGATGTGGCCATGAGAAAACCTACTCCTCTGAGGAGAGGTGTGATCCTTCCTCTTCTGCCAATCTTCCAGCCAGAACCTCCCAGTCACTGCTGTAGAAGACAGGGTGGAAGCCTGCCACAGGGAAGAGGCCGCTCCTGCAGTTTCTCCTTTAACAGCTAGAGGGTGTGGCCACACAAGGAAGAGCCACCGGAGAGCAGAAGGCTGGACTTCCCCCAGCTGCATTGGTTCCCTTGTTAGGCAAAGGACTGTGGATGGAGATTGCTTCCTATTTCTTAGACTGAAATGGGGGCTTGGGGTGGAGTGACTATCTGCAGATGCCCTTTTCACACCGAGACCCTGCCTTTGTGCAGGCCTTGGTATTGCTGAGTCCAAACACTCTCCAAATGGCCTCAAAGAAGAGCTGTACTCAACACATTCCTGGATTTTCTGGTCAATCAGTTCTGTGATGCTGAGCCTTGAATTAAAAGTCATCTGGAAGGCTCTATGCCCATGTGGACCAAGTAAAGCCTGTGACTGAGCACCTCAACAAGAATCTGTGCTTCCCGGCTCCATGGGTACCACACTGGCCTGTTGGTCAGCCTGGGAGCCCAACTGGGGGAAGCACAGATACTGTCCTTATTTTCTGGGACCATTCAGCAAGTGGCTCTGCCCCAGACACCTCCTTCCCATCAGTTATCTCCTCCTTCCAAGTGCTAACGCTGCCCTGGGCAAAGCTGGAGGTTCCAAGCAGGAAGAGGCTAAGCAGGGAAATGCTCTGTGTACTCTGGGCAGGAAGCGTGTATACCCTAGTGTGCTCAGGGGATAATCTGAGCTTTTTCCTCTCCACTGGCTGCCCTGGGGTCCCTCACTTAGGTAAAGAGTTGCAGATAGACAATTCTTGGCTCAACTTGTCCAGCCCACTTACTTTATAAGTAAAAAGAAAAAGCTAAGACTCAGAAAGGTGAGGGACTTGTTTGGGCACACAGCTTATTAGTGTAGGGCTCAGATCACAGGAACATATGCCAGCTCTAAGTGGACTGATAGCAAGGAGGCCCCAGAAATGCACAGTGAATACAGAGGAGTTTACACTTGGTGCACAGCACCACCAGGAAAGAAAAGCTGTCCTTTCTCCCTGTGGGATCCCGGCTTGCTTTTAAAGACCACTAGGTGCGCCGGGTCCTGCCAGCTACTCTCAAGGGAGTCTGCTGACCAGGAAGGAGAACAGCTCTTGGCATGGAAGGATGGCTGCTTACCCTACTAGTGCAAGAACCAGGTTCTTTTTTAGTACTTGGCACTTATGACAGAGACCAAACAATGGTTCACAGTGCCCCATGATGGATCCCAGTACGGCTACAGGACAAGGGCCTAGGGAAACATAGCGTTCCTGGTTCTTGAATATGCTGAAGATACAAGGAAACCAAGTTTAAAGTAGAGAGAACAGAGGATCCTGGCAGCAGTTTGAAATGTTCAGTGTTAAAAGCACTAGGAAAACAGAGGAGCATCATCTGTGAATGAAGAGGATTTACGCCCAAGAACTCAAGTCTACAGTGAAGAACTCAGGGGCTGCTGGTTACATGTCCATCTGCCACCTCTCTCTTGCTCTAACACATGGAACTCCTGGCAGCTGCCTGTGGCCTACCAGATTTTTTAACAGAAGAATGAAAGGTTTAGAGATGGCAATTACCCACATTTGGTCAGGGGAGTAGATGGAGCCAGATGTGTGGCAGGCAAATCATTAGCTGTCTGTGGCTCCTACTTCAGGAGAAGCCCATAAAAAAGGTAGTTATGGGCCAGACATGGTGGCTCATACCAGCAATCCCAGAACTTTAGGGGGCCAAGGCAGGTGGATCATCTGAGGTCAGGAGTTCAAGACCAGCCTGGCCAACATGGTGAAACTCCATTTCTACTAAAAACACAAAAACTAGCTGGGCACGGTGGCAGGCACTTGTAATCCCAGCTACTCGGGAGGCTAAGGCAGAAGAATTGCTTGAACCCAGAGGGCAGAGGCTGCAGTGAGCCGAGATCATGCCACTGCACTCCAGTCTGGGCAACAAGAGTAAAACTCCATCTCAGAAAAAAAAAAGAAAAGAAAAGAAAAGAAAAAGAAAGGCAGTTACACTCTTGTGGCTTTCAAAATTCACCTGCATGCTAAAGAAATGCTTCTAAAACAGCAAAGATGACACTGAAACACTCTCCAGGTAGGCCACAGGGAATGGGCAGCTGCCAGACTGTCTGTCTAGGGTTCCAACCTTTCCAGGGTAGGAGCTCTGCATCTGACTGTCCAAGACAGAAAATGTGGCGAAAAGGGGGATGAGATCATTAACCAATCAGTGCTCACTCTTGCAGGTGGGCCATGGAGTCAGTATCACCTACCCTCCTGTATGGTACAGAGTGGTGGTGGCCATGGTGGCTCCCTGAGAGTCTGGGAGGCAGGTGAATGAATACTGGGCAAGCAAGCAATATCCACTATATTTATCTTTTATTGCTGGTAATCTAATTTTTCAAGCCAATATATATTTTATATACAATAAAATAATCCTTTTAAAATGCAAAAATACATATATGTCTGAGGACTAACTTTCCTAGGCTGAAATTTCTGCTCCCTATGTGCTCCACAGAATTCAGGGGACAAGTTCCAAATGATGCCATATTTCTACTCACTCACACATAAAGCTCCTCCGTTTTCCCAGGATGAAAGCCAGTGTTATTTGGAAGAGGCCTAGGCACAGGGTGCTAGAAAGGTTTTCCTCACTCAAGACATACTTGCAGGTGTGGATCGATCTCAAATATAGTCTCTCCCCTCCGCATGTCAGTTATCAGCCAGGGGCCTCCAGCGCTGTGGACAAGGAAAGGGGATACGATGGTAACTGAGGGTCTGGGGCTGATGGGCTGGGCCTACAGCCTAACCTGTTTGCTGCCCCAGGCCCAGGACACAGGGGAATAGTTTGTGGTAAGGGATTATCAGGGAGTGAGTTGTCAGAAAGCCCTGATATGAAAAACCAGGGCCTGAAATAACAATGCAAAAGGGAGCCCCACATGGAGGGTGACAGATGGACTCCCACCCCCAGGCCCAGGGAGCCAGGCTCCCACCTTGCATGGGTACTCACACAGGTACTGTCCGCAGCAGCTCCAGGATGCCCTGCCCATTCCACTGCTGGGCTGAGTGTAGCTCCTCAGTGCAGACACCAACGATCTAAGGCCCAGGATAGAAAGCCACTGTGTGTTAATGGCTGGCCCCCATCCCAAGAAGGTCAGCTACTCAGGTTCTCTGAGTCACCTCTAGTTGGGAGATCACAAACAGGATCTGTGCTCAGGAGCTGGTGCATCAAAGATGGGATGGTTCCCTTAGGAGGGAGTGGCTCCCTGGCTGGGAAATGGCTGGGTCCACAGGCAGGCCCTGAGGCCTGACCCTTGCCCTTGCTGTGTCTGAGTGACACCAAGTCTAGCTCTCGGCTGCAGAGAAAACCAAGGCCTGAGCAACTCAAGATGGGTCCTCAGGCCATGCCTCTGGAAGTAGGGGAGGTTCAGGGAGCTGTTCCTACCCAGTCTGGTATCATGGGGAATGTAAACAAGAGACTTTGAGACCTATCAGTCTTGGAACCGTCACCAATAGGTTCTAGCACTTGCAGAGAAACTCCTCCCTTCCTTCTTAGGGGCTAGGCCTTGGTGTAAATATCAAGGGAACCAGTGGAACCTTCACACAGACTTCATCGTGACCGAAAAGAAGCACTGGTCAAAGCTGGGCAGGTTCCCACAGCTTCTGAGAAACAGCAAGTACGACCCAGAGCTGGCTTCCTGCTGTAAAGTCCTGCTGTAAAGACTGAGTCTTCACTGTTCACAGAATACCTCCCACCCCCCGTTACTCCCTCAGCTACAGCCATTATATTCCACCCAAATGGCTTCCTCCCCTCCCCGCTTCTCCCATCTCAGCAGGTTAAATCGGACCATCTAAATCTACCTGCTAAACCATCAGAGGAAACAGAAATCAAGAGGAGGCCAAAGGAAACCTCTCCTCCCTTCACTCTCCCTCTTCAAGCACCCCTGTCCTGCCAGGACCTTTCCCATGGGAAGGCTTGAGCCAAAGTCCAACCTGTGCCTTACCTGGAGGAAGGTGACTAACCCAAAGGGTGTCTGTACGGGCTGCATCTGTGGGTCCTCTGTCAGCAGCATGTGCTGAATTCTTGACTCACTGTTATCCAAAGGGCTGTGCCAGGACACATGGTCCCCACTGCAGAAGGTGTTCTCTGTGGGAGAGACACAAGGATCCTCAGTGTTGGAGGTCCCACATCCAGGCCTGGAATGTGGCTTGGGATCTCACTAGCCCAAGCTGGGAGGATTCCCAGCCTCTTAGGGTAGCCTCTGTGAAGGAAGAGAAGCATTCACTCCGGGTGGATGGAAGCAAAGAGTTTGTGGATATTTCCAAAAACCCAAATTGTTCCTGCTTGCCAATTCTGTCAGCCTTAAACGGAAAAGGACAGGCTATTAGTGTGGAAGCTCCCTTGGCCTGGGAAGCCCAAAAAACTTCTGGCATCTGCTTCACTTCCCCAACACCCCGATTCATGGTGGGAGGCAGGAGCCATGGTTGGATCTGCCAAGAAAGAATAAAGTGCTTTTCTGTGGGGGCACCTGGCCAGAAGTCCACAGGGAGGCAACAGGGTAATGAAAGCCCTTTGCCTTGGAAAAACAGACCAGGATTTCTGTGTTGCTGAAACCGGGCTCAGAAGGAAACATCCAACCTTGGAGGGCCTTCGAGGTCTCTCACCAGTTTCCTACAGGTAGACGTAGGAATTCCTGAGGAACACCAGGCTTCAAGTAAATGGAGGTCTATATAGTGCCTCCCACACCGAGACAAATCGTGAGGGTCCTCAGGCCATGTCTCTGAGATGTTCAGATTCTGCCAAGGGGTAGCTATTGGCATGAGGGCACAGCCTACTCACAGGCACACCACTGCATGTCACACATGCCCATTACTTTAGAAAGCGTTTTGTTTAAGGTCACATAACCACAAGGTAAAACAACTCCATGGGCTATTAAGTCTCCCATCAGCTCTGACTCACATTGTGGGTGCCAAGGTGCTCTGCATTACCAGCCTATGTGTTCACAGGCTGCCATCCATGTTTTGTTCTTACACAAATGGAAGCACACTATTCTGCAGATTTTACTTAATTACATATTTTAGAGATTACTTCTTTTTTAAAAAAAATATGGAATGCTTCATGAATCTGCATGTCATCCCTGCACAAGGGCCATGCTAATCTTTGTATTGTTCCAAATTTAGTATATGTGCTGCTGAAGCAAGCATGAGCTCACTTCTTACCAGCACATACAGAGCTGTCTCATTCTTTAAATGGCTATTCCAGAGTTCACTGTGGTCTGTCATTCATGATCTTGGAATCTCAACAGTTGAGGTACCTTCACTTTTTATCAATATTTAAGGTAAGGCAGAACACACACACACACACACACACACAAATCTTTTCCATCCAAGATACAGCTCAAGTTATTGATTCTAACCTCAGTGGTGTTCATTCAGGCAAAAGAAGGAAGACTACTTCCTCTGAGATGTGAAAATACAGGGGAGAGGAGAAAGCACAGCTCCAGGTAGAGCCAACTGAAAACTCCTATTTCCAAATTCCTGCTAGGCTCACTCTTCCCAGAATCCCTCTCCTTTTATGTAAGTGTGTTTCTACAAGTAGCCTGCATGTTCTAAAAGCAAGAAACAATGCAACAGGTGAAAGGACTGAATAAGTAATTAACTCCCCTAACAACATACACACATACTAACAGTCCAGGACCACCAGATGACTCCACTGGTAAATTCTGCTAAACATTTAAGAATTAATATCAACTGTTCGCAAACTATTCCAAAAAATAAAAGAAGAAATACTTTCTAATTCATTGTATGAAAACAGTATTACTATGATATCAAAAGCAAAGGTAAGACAAGGGGGAAAAAAACCCTATAGGCCAATATACTTTATGCATAGAAAAACAAAATCCTCAACAAAATACCAGCAAACGGAACCCAGCAACATATAGAAAGGGTTATACACAATGACCAAGTAGGATTTATTCCAGAAATGCAAGGTTAGCTATACATAAGGAAATCAATGTAATATATCAACAGAATAGAGGTTATAAAAAAACACTACATGATTATGTCAGTAGACACAGAAAAAGCATTTGACAAGATCCTTTTCATGATAAAAATACTCAGACTTGAAATAGATGGAATTTCCTCATCTTGATAAAGGGCATTGACAAAAAAACCCCACAACTAACATCATCCTTGATTGATGGTGAGTGACTGAATTAATTCCCTCTAAGATCAGGAACACGACAGAGATGCCTACTCTCACCACTTCTATTCAACACTGCATTAGAGTTGGAAGCCGGGACAATTAGGCAAGAAAAAAGAAATAAAAGGCCAGGTGTGGTGGCTCATGCCTGTAATCCCAACACTTTGGGAGGCCAAGGCGGGCAGATCACCTGAGGTCAGGAGTTCAAGACCAGCCTGGGCAACATGGTGAAGCCCCATTTCTACTAAAAATACAAAAACTAGCCAGGTGTGGTGGCATGAGCCTGTAATCCAAGCTACTAGGTAGGCTGAGGTAAGAGAACTGCTTGAACCCAGGAGGTAGAGGTTGCAGTGAGCCAAGATTGTGCCATTGCACTCCAGCCTGTGGACAGAGCAAGACTCGGTTGGAAAAAAAACCAAAGATATACAAATAGCTAATAAGCACATAAAAAGGCCTTCAATGTGACCATCAGAAGAATGCAAATCAAAACCACAATGAGGCCAATCTGGTGGCCTCCCAAGGTGGGAGGATTGCTTGAGGCCAGGAGTTCGAGACCAGCCTGGGCAAACATGGCAAAATCCCATCTCTACAAAAAAATACAAACAACAAAAAAAATTAGCTGGATGTGGTGGCCCACACCTATAGTCCCAGCTACTCAGGATGTTGAGGTGGGAGGATTGTTTGAGCTCTGGTCATACCATTATACTCCAGCCTGGGTAACAGAGTGAGACCCTGTCTGAAAAAAACAAAAGAAAAGAAAAAACGAACAATGAGACACCACCACTTCATACCCACTCGAATGTTTAAAATAAAAATGATAGCAATTGGGCCGGGAGCGGTGGCTCAAGCCTGTAATCCCAGCACTTTGGGAGGCCGAAGTGGGTGGATCACAAGGTCAAGAGATCGAGACCATACTGGTCAACATGGTGAAACCTTATCTCCACTAAAAATGCAAAAAATTAGCTGGGCATGGTGGTGCGTGCCTGTAATCCCAGCTACTCAGGAGGCTGAGGGAGAATTGCCTGAACCCAGGAGGCGGAGGTTGCGGTGAGCCGATATCGCGCCATTGCACTCCACACTGGGTAACAAGAGTGAAACTCCGTCTCAAAAAAACAAAAAAAAGTGATAGCAATTACAAGTATTATCTGGCAATAAAAAGTAATCAATACTAATATATACTACAACACGAACCTTAAAGATATTATGCTAAGTGAAAAAAGCCAGTCATAAAAGACCTTATGTTATATGATTCCTTCCATATGGAATGTCCAGAATAGGCAAATCTATGGAAACAGAGAGATTAGTGGTAGTCTAAGGCTGTGATGTTTGGAGGGAATAGGGAGTGACCAATAGGGTTTTTTTTTTTTTATGGTGACGGTTTCACAACTATCAGTTACATGGTATGTGAATCGTATCTCAATAAATCTGTTATTAAAAAACAGGATATAGCAGGCAAAAGGAAGGAATCTTGGGGCAGAGACAAAGTAAGGGAAGCAAGGCCAAGCCTCTAAATTCCTTGTTCTTACCACCCCAAGCTCAGCAGCCTGGCCTGGGAGAAACCTGACCCATAATGCTGACACATCACAGCACTGTATATGTCTACATGACCTGAACAATCACCTATCAGCATGTTCTTTTCTACAAATGAGAAAAGGATGCTTGAGATTGCACAAGGTCTCACAGGATGTCAGTGATGATGGGCAAGGCCCAACACTTCCCAGACTTTGGGGTCATCCACAACACCCATCAGGATGTTTGCCATATCTGTGTACCATCTGTACCATTACCTACCTGTATTTTTCTCTTAAAATTGATTTTTTTTAACCTAAACAAACTTACTCTGAAAAGATAACTTCATATCACTATACTAAATAAGAAAAATAAATGGAAAATTAGTGTTGCTTACCATTAAGTGGGAAACAATTTGATAACTTCAGGATAATATGATGATAATAAAATGCTATTAATTTCTAGCTGATATTGTTGCCCATTTAACATTGTTTAAAAACTGAAATAAACAAGAGTCAAAGAGCTGTTCAAGATTTAAAGAGTCATATCGAGCTAAGACAAAATCACCAAGACTGAGAGAAAACGAACCAGGGCAGGCATGGCAGTTCATGCCTGTAATTCTAGCATTTTGGGAGGGCCAGAGAGAGGATTGCTTGAGCCCAGGAGTTCGAAACCAGCCTGGGCAACATAGTAAGTTCCCATCTTTAAAAAAAAAAAAAGAGAACTGAAGAGAGAAAAGTGGCTTCACTATTCATGCTACCAGTTACCACTCTTGTGCAGTTACCAGCTGAACTCGCCTGCTGGTTTTGGCAAACCCTGGCATAGTGGTGAACTTTGGAGTTGGGAGGGCCCTGTTTCTATTTGGCTCCATCCCTAACTAGTTGTGACCCTGGGCAGCTTTCCCAAACACAATATCCAAGCCTTTTAGCAGGAAATAGCGTGCCTACTCAGTGTGCTTTCTACTACAGTGTGTTATTACTCGTGTACTGGAATACAGTAGAGATACTCCCACCCAAGTCACCAGAAAACAGAACTGGCCACAGAGCCGGTAGCTACCAGCAAGTGCCCAGTAGGTGGCACCATTGCTCCTGGTTTAAGAAACAAATGGGCCAGTTCCCTGGAGCTTTGCATCCCTATCTGATGTCTAGAAACACATCCCAAACTGGGTGGGGATTTATTTAGGCTAGAAACAGGGAAAAAACTGGAAAGATTTCGAGCCATGACCTTTGACATTTTAACCAGAATTAACATGCTTTAAAAATATTGTGTAAACCCAAACTGTTTAAACCAGAATGACCAAAAAGCACTTTGTGGAGGCTTCGTAACTTGGGAAGGGGCTTAATTTAGGCAGCTGGGAGAGGGGGACTCTAAGGCAAGAAGAGGGAGTTGGTGCTGCTCTAGGACCAACAGGTTCCACCCTGAGCATGTGTGATCATGAGCATATGTGATTTGGCTTTGGCCAAAGGTACTCCTGAGTTAAAGCAGGAAGCAGAAAGTACAACTTCCATCAGAAATGCTTGGAGAGCAGGACACTAACAGAACCTTCTAGCAAGGAAGGGGCAGGGTCTTCCACAGCTCTGCCTGTGAAGGAACCAGACTTATGAGCTCTTCTGTGGCCAAGAAACGGTCTTTCTTAACAATGAAAGAGACTTGGTCACAGTTCTCAAGCCTGGGACAAAGCCACAATGGGTTCATTCTTGAGTCCAGTCTGGTCTTTATGCCCTGGAAACTCGGCCCCATTCTGTTGGAGCCACTGTGGGGTCTCAGCACTCAGGCCCCAGCGCCCACCCCGGGAAGCTCTGGGCCCCTTCAGAGGGGTTTTCAAATGCTAATAATGCCTTAGTTGGAGGCCCAGCTGTTCATTCCAGCAGTTACAGGAGCTGGCTTCCTCTCTCTGACTCCCCAAGGTAACTTCATTGAAAAGTCAGGATGAAAATCCCAGAGACTTCCACTTAAACCACACAGCAGAGGTTCCCTCCACCCAATGTCCGAAAGAACGCCGTTCCAGGTAAGGGCTGGGTAGACAATTTCTATTTTCTTCCCTCAGAGCTTTCCCCCAAGTACCAGGAGAAACCTCCCTCAGCTACCCCAGACTTCTATGTTGGTTGGCGCATTCACTGGAAGGGAAATACCACTCCAGGGTCTCCCTCCCCTTCCCCACAAAAAATGCTAGTTACAGTTCTACATCTTGCTCACTTAGGAGAAAGATTTCATTCCTCCATGTCTCATTCCCCATTAACAAACAACTCCCTGCAAGAACTCTGAAAACTTGGGGGGCACTGAACAGGCACACAGAATCTAACTGGCTCCTCCAATTGACCATCACCTCATCCCCACCTCCCCGACATCCAGCTCCAGTCATGGTGGTTTGAAGCTGGACTGTCCTGGATATAATAAGTCAGCAAAATTTAGGGAGAGGGGATGCAGAAGAAAACAGCTATTGTTTGTAAAATAGTGCGGCCTTTGAAACACTGAGAAACAAATTCTTCAAGAGTTCTTACAAATACATTCTTCAAGAGTTTTTTTTTTTTTTTGAGACGGAGTTTCGCTCTTGTTACCCAGGCTGGAGTGCAACGGTGTGATCTCGGCTCACCGCCACCTCCGCCTCCTGGGTTCAGGCAATTCTCCTGCCTCAGCCTCCTGAGAAGCTGGGATTACAGGCACGTGCCACCATGCCCAGCCAATTTTTTGTATTTTTAGTAGAGACGGGGTTTCACCATGTTGACCAGGATGGTCTTGATCTCTTGACCTCGTGATCCACCTGCCTCGGCCTCCCAAAGTGCTGGGATTACCAGCTTGAGCCACCGTGCCCGGCCCTTTTTTTTTTTTAATTTCATTTTAGGTTTTGGGGTACATGTGAAGAACATGCAAGATTGTTCCATAGGTACACACATGGCAGTGTGATTTGCTGCCTTCCTCCCCATCACCTATATCTGGCATTTCTCCCCATGCTATCTCTCCCCAACTCCTCACCCCCAGCTGTCCCTCCCCTATTTCCCCTGACAGATCCCAGTGTGTGATGCTCCCCTCCCTGTGTCCATGTGTTCTTAATTGTTCAACACCTGCCTACGAGTAAGAACATGCCGTGTTTGATTTTCTGTTCTTGTGTCAGTTTGCTGAGAATGATGGTTTCCAGGTTCAACCATGTCCCTACAAAGGACATCATCGTTTTTTATGGCTGCATAGCATTCCATGGTGTATATGTGCCACATTTTCCTTGTCCAGTCTATCATCGATGGGCATTTGGGTTGGTTCCAGGTCTTTGCTATTGTAAACAGTGCTGCAATGAACATTCATGTGCATGTGTCCTTATAGTAGAACAATTTATAATCCTTTGGATATATACCCAGTAATGGGATTGCTGGGTCAAATGGAATTTCTGTTTCTAGGTCCTTGAGGAATCGCCACACTGTTTTCCACAATGGTTGAACTAATTTACACTCCCACCAAGTGTAAAACTGTTCCTATTTCTCCACATACTTTCCAGCATCTGTTGTCTCCAGATTTTTTAATGATCGCCATTCTAACTGGTGTGAGATGGTATCTCAATGTAGTTTTGATTTGCATTTAATAACCAGTGATGATGAGCATTTTTTCATATGCTTGTTGCCCTCATGTATGTCTTCTTTTGTAAAGTGTCTGTTCATATCCTTCGCCCACTTTTAAATGGGCTTCTTTGTTTTTTTCTTGTAAATCTGTTTGAGTTCTTTGTAAATTCTGGATATCAGCCCTTTGTCAGATGGGTAAACTGCAAAAATTTTTTTCCCGTTCTGTTGGTTGCCGATTCACTCTAATGACTGTTTCTTTTGCCATGCAGAAGCTGTGGAGTTTGATTAGGTCCCATTTGTCTATTTTGGCTTTTGTTGCCAATGCTTTTGGTATTTTGGTCATAAAGTCCTTGCTTACGCCTATGTCCGGAAGGGTCTTGCCTAGATTTTCTTCTAGTGTTTTTATGGTGTTAGGTCTTATGTTTAAGTCTTTAATCCATCTGGAGTTAACTTTAGTGTAAGGTGTCAGGAAGGGGTCCAGTTTCTGCTTTCTGCACATGGCTAGCCAGTTTTCCCAACACCATTTATTAAACAGGGAATCCTTTCCCCATTGCTTGTTTTTGTCAGGTTTGTCAAAGATCAGATGGTTGTAGTCTTCAAGAGTTCTTAATTCATCCTAACTCTGGACAGTGCTGGCCTGCCTTCCTTCTGTGCAAAAGGGCAGGCCCCGGGATGTTCTACATAATAGCCTGGAAACTAACGCCCCACCCCAAGGTCAGAAATAACATGCTTGGTCTGTGGAGAGGAGGCTAATAATGTTCCCTTTTGGAGCCCAGGATCGTGAAGCTTGGTGCTGTGAAGCCAAATGCCCCTTTTCTCCAGGTGCTCTTCTGCATGCTCTGAGATAATTCTGTGCTTTCCAGGGACAGAGAACAAGGGCAGGAAATGCAGCTGGACTATGCCAGAGGTGTCACAGGAGTGGTTGGTCTGCAAGAGGTGTTTTTTGAGAGAGCAGTAAAATGGGAGGTGACCCAAAGTGGGCTGGCAGACTCAGGTCTGTCACCTTGGAGGTCAAATATTTGACAATGGCACAATCATCATAGTCTGTCAAGAAAAAGCTCCACTACTCTTGCCTTTTTGGTGTTCACAAATCATTCTGACCACCAGGGCTTAAGTGTCCTCTGTGAACATCCAGAGCAGGTCCTAGGAGGGCTTAGCAGTTCTTTCCCAAAATGCTAGATGTGCCAGACATGTCCCCACTGACACAGATTGCTGAAGAGGCAAGGTTCAGTTAGCCTATGCCCCATCTCTGGAAGTTCCAGGATGAAGCCGACACTCTTGGGGAGGCTCTGGCCATTGCTTAACCCACCCTCCTTCTTGAGAAGGCTCAAGCTTCTACTGCTGCAGCCACAGTGGGCTGCTCAGCTTCCTCTGAAATTGGAAGACAGCCCCTTCTCAAGTCAACAGAGGCCCACGAGCAGATATATATTTATGGGGGCAGAACTACAGGTCTGCACAGGCCTGGAAGCTTCATGACTCCCCATTGAGAGGAGGAGAAAATCTGGAGGTTTTGCTGAATGAAATGTCTCCGGCTAAGGCAGTGAAGGATGTGAAGTTCAAAGCCAGTCCTATTGGCCTCTGCCCAGCCCAGGTGCTTCTAATGGGGGCCACTCAGTCTGCCCACTGCCCCCACTGGATCTCTCTGTAAGCCCACCATAATTTCTAAAACCCACGCCTAATTATTTCCTCCCCCCCCCCCCCACTTCTTCTTCTTCTTCTGACAGAGTCTCTCTCTGTCGCCCAGGCTGGTGTGCGATAATACAACCTTGGCTCACTGCAACCTCCACCTACTGGGTTCAAGTGATTCCCGTGCCTCAGCCTACCAAGAAGCTGGGACCACAGATGCATGCCACCACGTCAAGCTAATTTCTGTATTTAGTAGAGATGGAGTTTTGCCACGATGGCCAGGCTAACTCCTGACCTCAAGTAAGCCACCTGCCTCAGCTTCCTAAAGTGCTGGGATTACACGCATGAGCCACCCGCCCAACCCAAGCCTTATTTCTAGATCAACCAGAGAGGAGAATGGGGATGCATGTGCCTAGTCTACTGCCAGAAATGAAGAGCCTACTAAGTTTTAGGAGGCCACGGGGTGTAGCACAGCCACAAATGACATTTCTGGAGCCCTAAGCACACCCACACAATGCTACCCTCATTTTAGGGAGAGGCAACCCCAGGCACTGTACAGAGGGCACTGCCAGCACGAAGACCCAGAGCCTCGTCCAGGCAAATTCTTCCTTGACAGCAGCCACCCACCAAAAGAAGGCCGCAGATCCTCTTCTTGTCTGGTCAACACTCACCTCTTCCTGGTAACAGCAACTCTCCTTCCTCCAGGAATCCAAATAAAGCTCAGAGTGAGCACCTCCCTCCACTTCCCTGCCTGCCTGGCTCCACACCCCCTCCCCAGGCCAAAGCCAAAGAACCCTGCAACAGAGTCGTGAGGCAAGGGCCACACTAGGAACTGGGACAGAAGTTGAATGCAATGATGTATAAATAGTGTAGGAGCAAATAAATAAACAAACAAATAAATAAACAAACAAACACATTCTGGGCAATTCCCCTTTAACAGTGGAATTCCTGCAAGGAGAGGAAAAGATGGGATACTACCCAGCTCAGAAGCTACAATTTGTTACAAACCAACATAATTTGGCACCCCTGCCTTTCTCCCCACATAGTGCACAGCAGACAGATGCTCCTGAGGAAGGATAATCCCAGGAACATGGTTGACTGCACAGCAGCCCCTCTGCAGGGTTTCCAATCAAACTTCAGAGAAGAGCCATGACAGAAACTCCATTATTTATTTATTTAGATGGAGTTTTGCTCTGTTGCCCAGGGTGGAGTGCAATGGCGTGATCTAGGCTCACTGCAACTACCCCCTCCTGGGTTCAAACAATTCTTCTGCCTCAGTCTCCCAAGTAGCTGAGATTACAGGTGCCCGCCACTATGCTCGGCTAATTTTTGTATATTTAGTGAAGACAGGGTTTCATTACTAAATATACAAAATTTGTTGGCCATGCTGGTCTTGAACTCCTGACCTCAGTTGATCCACCTGCCTCGGCCTTCCAAAGTGCTGGGATTACAGGTGTGAGCCACGGCACCCAGCCAGAAACTCTTTTAAGAAAGAAAAAAACAACAAAACAAACAAACTGGGGTGAGGGGAACCCAAAACAGATTCTCTGTATATGTGGTTGAGGAGCTCTTGGGGCTAGAAGGTAAAGTTCTTCATAACTGGACAAATGGTGCAGATGGTGACTAGTTGTAGAGTTCCCAATATGTCCATAGGTAGAAGCAAGAACCCCTCCCCCCACCCACCTACATTTTCAAAGTTTTGGATGCATTTTGATCACTTGAAAAGTTCATTGATTGTTTGGTCAGAGAGCTTCCCTCAGCTAGCTCTGTCTGATATTAATTTGGCTAAATGTGGTTGCAAGACATGAAGACGGGAAATGAATACATGATTAAATAAAGAAGACTGAGAGGAGACATATTTGCTCTTGCAAAACTGAAAGGAAACGTAAAGGCTATTCCTTCCAGGTTCTGCCTGGAATCAAAGGAATTGCACAGCTAGCCAAAGGAGACTCAAAACTGCTTCCCTATGCATTTTCTCCAGAATCTCCTGCTTTTCAGCTTCCTTCTTCTCCCTCAAAGCCACAATCATAAAGGCAAACAGTGTAGTGTAAGGAAAATCCCTTTATAAGCAGAGAAGCTCAGCAAACTGGAATACAGGTCACAGAAGGGCAGGTGGGAGGCTGGCGGGCTGCCGGAGGCCCTGTAGGCTCTCACCCCAAAGCGAGTCTAGGGGGCTACAAACCTTTCAGAACTGGACTGATACGGCTCCCCTAGAGAAAGACTGTGGACCCAATACTCACCTGTGCCCACATGGGCAGGGCACACAGTGGACAACCTAATTCTCCCCACAGTGAGGGCAAGGACCCTGACTGCCCATAGAGCTCAGGAGGGTTCACCTGGCCTATGGTAGCTGTTACTATCATTTACTCACCCATATGTGCTATGCCTACCTGTAAAGAACACAGGTCCGTGCTTACCCCTTAGAGAGAGCCTGGAGTCCTAATCTAGCAGATGCTTTCACTTTTCTTTTTAAGCAGCTCCATCTGTTTAGACACCTGTCAGTGCGAGAAGGAAGAATCTTCTCCCCACAAACTTGTAACCGGGCAAGACCTGCCCTCATTCCTCTCTCTCCTTCACCAGCATGAGGGCCTGCCACCTACACACAAGGCAGAGCCTAAGCCTCTTTGTTCTTTGTTTTTCCTTTGAGACAGAGTCTCACCCAAATTGGAGTGCAGTGGTGCCATCTCAGCTCACTGCAAATCTCATGCCTCAGCCTCCCAAATAGCTGGGATCACAGGCCCGCTTTACCACGTCTGGCTAATTTTTGTATTTTTAGTAGAGATGAGGTTTTGCCATGTTGGCCAGGCTGGTCTCAAACTCCTCACCTCAAGTGATCCACCTACCTCGGCCTCCCAAAGTGCTGGGATTACAGACATGAGCCATGGAGCTTGGTCCCAAGCTTCTTTGTTTTTAAAGCCAAAGGGACTAAGGTTTTAAACTTGTAGTCCTATATACATTTCAACCAAAGAATGCCAGGAGGGTCAGGTACAGTGACTCATGCCTGTAATCCTGGCACTTTGGGAGGCTGAGGTGGGTAGATCACTTGAGCACAGGAGTTTGAGACCAGCCTCAGCAACATGGCAAAACCCTGTCTCTGCAAAAAATAAAAAACCTAGGTGTAGTGGCACATGCCTGTGGTCCCAGTTACCCAGGAAGCTGAAGTGGGAGGATCACCTAAGCCCTGGAACATGGAGGCTGCAGTGAGTCAAGATCACACCAGTGCACTCCTGCCTGGGTGACAGAGTGAGACATTAAGACCCCATTACAAAAAAAAAAAAAAAAAATCACAGAAAATCCTTTGAAGCTTTAAAATCCAGCAAATGCTTCTACCCCTTCCATCTCCTTTCTGAAGAGACCAGTTAATTCTACTTAGACTGGGTACAGTGATTCACACGTGCAATCCCACAGCTTTGGGAGGCTGAGGCAGGAAGGTCACTTGAGACCAGGAGGTTCAAGACCAGCCTGGGCAACACAGTGAGACCCTGTCTCTACAGAAAAATTTAAAAATTGCCAGGCATGGTGGTGCACACTTGTAGTCCCACAGCTACTCAGGAGGCAGAGGCTGGAGGATCGTTTGAGCCCAGGTGTTCGAGGTTACAGTGAGCTATAATCATACCATTGCATTCCAGCCTGGGCAACAGAGCAAGACCCTGTCACTGTAAGACAAAACAAATGAAAACATTTAGTTGCCAGGGACCTATAAACTAGTATGATCATTTTGGAGGACCAAATAGCAGAATCTATTAATACAAAAGGTACCTTCCCTTCAACCCAATCATTGTACTTCTAAGTATCTACCCTAGAGCAAAACTTGTCACAGGGAAGAATGAACAAGGATGGTCACTGCACCTGTGCACTGTTTGTAATACTGGAAAAATGGCAATAACCTAAAGGTGCATCACCAGGGGAATAGTTAAACTATGGTTTATTCATACAATAAAATCACAGGCAACAGTAAAAAAAATTAAATAAAGATCTTCAAAACATACTGTCAACTGAAAAAAATCAAATTGTGAAGGGCAGTACAGTTTCACTCACATTAAAGAAAGAAAAAAAAAAAAAAACATAGAAACCCAAATCATTTCATAGGTACCTAGAAGGTGAATACATGGAAAAAAAATCTGGCCAGCTGCAAGGACTCACACCAAATGGATAAAGTACATTCCTTTAAGGAGGTCCCTGAGATTGGGTGGGATGGTCATGGAGGACTTTGACTTTATCTGTATAGTCTAACTTTTTAACATCTGAGGTCAGGTGTGGTACCTCATGCCTGTAATCCCAGCACTTTGGGAGGCTGAGGTAGGTGGATCACTTCAGTTCAGAAGTTTGAGACCACTCTGAGCAGCCCCTCTGCAAAGTTCAACCCCTTTGCCATTCATGTCCTGCACCACCCTGGGACTCTGCAGGGAGTCCTTACCAGCAAGAAGGCTTTTATCAGATGGGAGTCTATTTATACTAGAGGGTTACAGTGAGCTGTTACCCTGTAGACTCCCCTGGATGAACTTTCAGATAGTTTCCAGTTTTTACTATTTTATTTAGCAAGACACCATCTCTACAAAGAAAACACACAAAAATTACCGGGGTGTGGTGGCATGTGCTCAGGTGGGAGGATCTGAAGTGGGCTGAGGTGGGAGGATCACTTGAGCCTGGGAGTTTGGGGCTGCAGTGAGCCAAGATCACATCACTGCACTCTAGCCTGGGAGACAGAAATCCTGTCTCCAAAAAAAAAAAAAAAAAAAAAAAATCTGAAATTTATTTATGTATTATCTATATACTTAATGTCAGAAAGATGATCCTCCTCCTTGACCACTCTGCTATGTGATACCAGCAGCCAGCTACTGTAGCATCACTCCGAATGCAATGGCACTAATCTGGACACTCAAGAAAGTTAGGTGGTATGATTTGAATGTCTGCCCCCTTCAGAATGTATATTGAAACTCAATCTCCAAACTGGCAGTACTGAGATGTGGGGCCTTTAAGAGGTGATTGGGTCATGAGGGCTCTGCCTTCATATATAGATCAATAAGTTAATGGATTATCACAGAGGTGGGCGAGTGGTAGGAGTGAGAACTGGTGGCTTTATAAGAAGAGACCTGAGCTAGCAAGTTCAGCCCCTTTGCCATTCATGTCCTGCACCACCCTGGGACTCTGCAGGGAGTCCTCACCAGCAAGAAGGCTTTCATCAGATGGGAGTCTATTTATACTAGAGGGTTACAGTGAGCTGTTACCCCTGTAGACTCCCCTGGATGAACTTTCAGATAGTTTCCAGTTTTTCCTATTTTAAACAACACTATAAGGTTGTTGCTCATATATGAACATCTTGGCAACTGTGTCCAATTATCTCAGGGTCAGTTCCTAAAGCGGGATTGGAGGTCACAAGGTCTGCACATTTTACAATTTGGCACATATGCCCAACTGTCCTCCTAGAAGGTGATTCCTCAAGGCAGGTTGGCCCCTGCCACAGTTGCCACTGTGTTCTCACCTGTGGGTGGTCTTGATCTCCTGTCCTCAGGTGATCCACCCACCTTGGCCTCCCAAACCTGCAGGGATTACAGGTGTGAGCCACTGCACTCGGCCTGCTTGAACATCAACTTTTAACCCAGAGAGAATTTGGTTGGCCTCATCCTCAGCAACCCTAAAAAAGATAAATGAAACACTAACTTCTCTTTAGCTCAGTCATTGGCCAACTTAGTGTAAGGTAAAAGCATTACTTAAGAGTCTTCTCTCTTAGCCGTATTATCTGATATAATTTTCTTACTATGTAACCTTGAAGAAGTCACTTAACTTCTCTGCATCCATTTTTTTCAGATACCAAAACAGATGTGATGATATCCTGTCTACCTTAAAGTTTTTTTTTTAAAGAATTCAAGAAAAGAAAATACATAAAAATTGCCTTGTATACTGAAAGTACTGTACAAATTAAGCAGCTGCTATTCATTTGAAAGATTCAACCACCGGAAAACACCGCCACTATTTACACAAAAAGGAACGAAGACAGGAGGATCCAGCAGACTGAGACACAGACACAGAATCCACCCACAGTGGCAGAGCAGATATCTTCTCGAGGAGCCAGGATTCTAATTTTCAGCTTAGGAAATGAATCCCCTTCTTCCTGCATTAATTTATACCAAGAAGCACAGCTATGATACTTATGGATGTTCTCAGAAGTCACCCTGCTGGGTCAGACCTGGAGGACCTGGGGAGCATCGAGAAGAAGGAAGGACTTGTCTGCAAGAAACTAGACTGGAGCACAGAACAAGGAATCACAAAAATACTGATTAGAAAAAACAAACAAACAAACAAAAACCAGCATTAATAAATGGTCTCCTTTGGGAGACCAAAGTGGGTGGATCACAAGGTCAGGAGTTCGAGACCAACTTGGCCAACATGGTGAAACCCCATCTCTACTAAAAATACAAAAACTAGCCAGGTATGGTGGCATGTGCCTGTAATCCAAGCTACTCAGGAGGCTGAGGCAGGGGAATTGCTTGAACCCAGGAGTCAGAGGCTGCAGTGAGCCAAGATTGTGCCACTGCATTCCAGCCTGGACAACAAAGCAAGACTCTGTCTCAAAAAATAAATAAATAAATAAATTAAATAAATAAAATAAATAAATAAATAAATAGTCCCTGGGTGTGGCAGCCTAGATTCCCGAATCACCAACTCCACACCCTTCGCTTAAATCCTCTCTATAAGGGCCTGTGCCAGCTACTGCCCAGACTACTAGGAAAACTTCAGGGATGGTGAGTTTACTGCCTCCCAGTGCCTATCCACATTAGGAACTGCTTCTACATCCCAATGAATAGTTAACAATTTTCTAGTTCTCTATTCTGAGCAACAAAGAAAAAGTCAAATCCCTTTTCCATATGGCAAGACGTCAAATATTTTTAAACACCTGTTGTGGGTCATAGTTCAACTCCCTACATACTCCATCTCAAAGTCTTTTCTTCTTTAAACTGGAATATTTCCAGTTATTTCACTTGTATAGTCATTCCTCACAGATGGACAGTTCTGAAAGGTTTTGCCAGTTTGAAAGCCAACATTCTCTGGACACACTCTGATTGGTCTAAGTCCCTTGTTGAATGTGCTCCCAGAAGGGGCTGTTGAGTCAAGAGATGGGACATGAGGCAGGTGCTTATCTCTGAGTATCTGTGTATAGACCAGTCACCCAGTGGTCTATGTATCTGCCCAAGTTCCAAAGTTTACCTACCAATCAGATACAGGAAGGGGGTTACAAATAACCAATTTTGGGTGATTTGATTATAGGAAGAGGTGGTAATAAATCATGAGTGAAACCTTTTGGTGTTCAGGCCAGACTCTTTCAGGAAATTTCTTCCGGCTTGGAGAGATGGAGAAGGGACTAAGTTGTGAGGGTGAACTCAGGTGGTGCAGGGCTTTCTGAGGGCCACAGAGTCTGAGTAACCTGCAGGCCTCCAGCCTCAAAGCACTTCCTTAATATTGGAATGCAGCCAATCTTAAAGCTACCAAAGGTGGGAAGAGTCCTGTGTCTTATTTTATGGACTTGAAAGACTACACAGTGCTTCTTCAGTGCCTAGGCTGCCAAATGGCCATGACCACAGGTGAGAGCACAGTGGCAACTGTGGCAGGGACCACCCTGCCTTGAGGAATCACCTTCTAGGAGGACAGTTGGGCATATGTGCCAAACTGTAAAATGTGTAGACCTTGTGACCTTCAATCCCACTTTAGGAACTGACCCTGAGATAATTGGACACAGTTGCCAAGATGTTCATATATGAGCAACAACCTTATAGTGTTGTTTAAAATAGGGAAACTGGAAACTATCTGAAAGTTCATCCAGAGGAGTCTATTTATACAGAGGGGTCTGTTATGTTAGTATCATATAATGAAATGTCATCCAACCATTATAAGCACTGCTATGCATATATATGTGTATGTATATGTGTGGGTATACACACATACATATATATATACATATATATATATATATATATATATTTTATTTTTTTTTTTTTTGAGACAGAGTTTTGCTTTTGTTGTCCAGGCTGGAGTGCAATAGTGCCATCTTGGCTCACTGCAATCTCCACTTCCTGGGTTCAAGCGAATCTCCTGCCTTAGCCTCCCAAATAGCTGGGATTACAGGTGCCTGCTACCTTGCCTGGCTAATTTTTGTATTTTTAGTAGAGATGGGGTTGGCCAGGCTGATCTTGAACTCCTGGTCAGGAGTGATCCACCCGCCTCGGCCTCTCAAAGTGTTGGGATTACAGATGTGAGCCACTGTGCCCAGCCAAGCTACATGTACTTAGCTAGAAAGACTTCCATGACATGACGCTGTGTGAAGAAAGCATGTTAGTATTTACAGTATTTAGTCAAACTGCCTATTTTATGTATAGAGACATATCTAGAAGGATGATAACCAAATAAAAATGGCTGTCTCAAAAGCATATTATTTTTGTTTTCAATATATATTTAAGTTACAAATATAGTCTTACTATAAGAAAGTCAAACAACAAAGAAATGTAAAAGGTAAAAAATAGAAATCTCTTTTCCCATCAGTCCGATTTCTCAGCTATTAACATTTTCTGTTAACATTTGATATGTAATCTTTAAGACTTTCTTTTGAGCATGTATAATCAAAGTCATACTTTTCTCTTTTTTTTATTTAATTCTGTCCCGTAGAGACTGTCAAACATTGCCAATGCCGACTATATTTCAAGTCGTCATGGCGAGGTATTGGGAAGTTTTCAATTAGCAATAATTGCACCTCAGATAAACTTCATTGGCTATGATACTGCCACTGCACAAAGCTACTTTCTTCTTTTCTTAAAGTAAATATGAAACTCTGCTCTACACATTGTTCTGCAACTTGGTTTCTTCATGTTTTCAGTATTGTCTGGATTTTTAAAATGTCCTTTTTGTAATTAGAAAAACAATAAAGCTATATTTGTTTGGGGGAATAAGAGTGTACCAGCCAAGGACAGAAGACAATGAACGTGTGATGTGAGTGGCCCAATAAAGAGAAGCAAAGGACAAAGGTTTTCCTGTGTTCAGGTCACCATGGTGCTCAATACAGGAGGACCTAGACATGCCCGGTTGGCCCCGGAGGTTGATAGTGTCCTGTTCTCCCTAAATCTTCAAAGCCAAATACAGGCTGCCGGAGTTAGGCCTGGGGCTGGGGAATATTGCTGCAGTCTTCCCTGAAGATGCGTCCCCTGCCTGGCACAGTGCCCCAGGTATGCAGCTTCTGCTGGGCCAAGCAGGATAAGGCAGAGAAAGCCCCCCACTGCTGTTTTAGAGTCTACCTGCTGCATGCCAGCAAAACAACAATCCACTGCTTGGGTGTGCTGCAATCCCTCTTTAAAAGCACCCGAATTCCCTCCCTTATCTTTTCCTCCCCTGGCTCGAGTTCCAACTGTCATTTTCCCAGAGAGAGGGCTCTGTAAGGAATCAGAAATGCTGCTTGAACCTCATCAGAACGCTCGAGGGAGGGCCATTCTGTTCTCCTGGTCCTTGAGTCCTGGAAAGAACCTCGACAACAAGCTTGTCTGCATGTCTGCCCTGCAAGGCAAGAAGACAGGCCTGGTGGTGGAGACCCACTCCCAGGGAAGCCCAATCAGTACTGTGTCTGGCTTAGGGATGCCAGTCATTTTCCCCTGAGAGAGCTATGAAGAAACTGAGTAAGAAAGCAGACTACGGCTGGGCGCGGTGGCTCACACCTGTAATCCTAGCACCTTGGGAGGCCAAGGTAGGCAAATCATGAGGTTGAAAAATAGAGACCATCCTTGCCAACATGGTGAAACCCCATCTCTACTAAAAATACAAAAATTAGCTGGGCGTGGTAACGTATGCCTGTAGTCCCAGCTACTCGGGAGGCTGAGAGGCAGGAGAATCACTTGAACCCAGGAGGCAGAGGATGCAGTGAGCCAAGATCGCACCATTGCACTCCAGCCTAGCAACAGAGCAAGACTCTGTCTCAAAAAAAAAAGGAGAAAGAAAGAAAGCAGATCACTGTATCTTATTCAAAGCTGTTCCAATAAACACATTCTCCTTAGTACCAGAGAGCATGCCTTGAAGTGGTAACCTGTCCACACCCGCACTTGAGGCCTAGGGTTGCTTCTCAGGGCTCACTGTCCCTAGCCTCTGAGAAGTTCTTTGAAAAATTCAGTCATGTAGCCAGGCATGGTGGCTCAAGCCTGTAATCCCAGAGATTTGGGAGGCTGAGGCAGGTAGAAGGCTTGAGTCCAGGAGTTTGAGACCAGCCTGAGCAACATGGGGGAAACCCCAGCTGTACAAAAAAAATAGAAAAATAAATAGAAAAATTAGCCAGGCATGGTGATGTGCACCTGTAGTCCCAACTACTCGGGAGGCTGAGGTGGAAGAATCACCTAAGCCCAGGGAGGACAAGGCTGCAGTGAGCTGTGATTGAACCTCTGCACTCCAGCCTGGGTAACAGAATGAGACCCTGTCCAAAAAAAAAAAAAGGAAAAAGAAAAATTTGGCTGGGCTCAGTGGCTCACACGTATAAATCCCAGCACTTTGGGAGGCCAAGGCAGGGGGATCACTTGAAGTCATGAGTTCAAGACCAGACTGGCCAACATGGCGAAACCCTGTCTCTACTAAAAATACAAAAATTAGCCAGGCATGGTGGCAGGCACCTGTAATCCCAGATACTTGGGAGGCCAAGGTAGGAGACTCATTTGAACCCAGGAGGCAGAGGTTGCAGTGAGCCAAGATCACACCCTTGCACTCCAGCATGGATGACAAAGAGCAAGACTCCGTCTGGAAAAAAAAAATCAGTCATAGTTATCCTTTCGGTTTTTTCATTTCTGATAATGAAACCTAGGCTCTATGCAAAAAAATTCAAAATGGCAAGAAAGTACAAAAAAGGAAGATATCACTGACATGTAGCCCCATCACCCTAAGATGGCCTTTGGTGAATATTTTCACGTGTCTCCCAGTGATGTATGTGGACATGTACATATTGTTACCAGAATTGGAACCTAACTGTATAAAGTGTTGCAATATATTTTTTTCTTTTTCTTTCTTTCTTTTTAGAGATAGGGTCTTGCCCTGCCACCCAGGCTGGAATGCAGTGGCATAATCTTGGCTCATATAACCTCTAACTCCCCAAATGGGGGTCAGGTGATCCTCTCGCCTCAGCTTCCTGAGTGGCTAGGACTACAGATGCAAACTACCATGCCTGGCTAAGTTTTGTATTTTTTGTAGAGATAGGGTTTCACCATGTTGCCCAAACTGGTCTTGAACTCCTGGGCTCAAGTGATCAACACACCTGGACCTCCCAAAGTGCTAAGATTACAGGGATGAGTCACAGTCCCAGTCCTTTTTTTTTTTTTTTAAGACAGGTTCTCATTCTGTTGCCCAGGCTGGGGTGCAGTGTCACAATCATCCCTTATGATTGTGGGCTCAAGCAAGTGATCCTCCCACCTCAGCCTCCCAACTAGCTGGGGCTACAGGAGCACATAACCACACCCAGATAACTTTATTTTATTTTTGTAGAAACAGGGTCTCATGAGCTCAGTTTCCAACTCCTGGGCTCAAGCGATTCTCCAGTCTCAGCCTTCCAAAGCACTGAGGTTATAGGCGTGAGCCATAGCACCTGGCCTATGCTGCTTTAAAAAAAAAACAACAACCTGTTTCCTTTTATTTTGCAATATGTTTCTTAACAACATAAATAATATTGTTTCCATGTATAATGCTAGGCTCTGCATTAGGAGGACTACCTATATCATGAAGTAGATATTACTTTTTTTTTTTTTTGAGACGGAGTTTCGCTCTTGTTACCCAGGCTGGAGTGCAATGGCGCAATCTCGGCTCACCGCAACCTCCGCCTCCTGGGTTCAAGCAATTCTCCCGCCTCAGGATTACAGGCACGTGCTACCATGCCCAGCTAATTTTTTTGATTTTTAGTAGAGACGGGGTTTCACCATGTTGACCAGGATGGTCTCGATCTCTTGACCTCGTGATCCACCTGCCTCGGCCTCCCAAAGTGCTGGGATTACAGGCTTGAGCCACTGCGCCCGGTGAAGTAGATATTACTATTACCTCTGTTTCACAGATGAAGTAACTGATCCTTGGAAATGTTCAATTTTGGTCCCACATGGCCCAACTAGGATTTAAACCCAGGCAACCTGCCATTTGGATGCCTGCTCTCAGCCACGTTCTTCTCCAGCCCTCTTCACTGAACACTTATGGTGAGCAGTTTCCACTCACCAAAGGGCTTTACCTTCTGCAGAGAGCTAAATCTCCTGTCCTAACTCTCCAGCTGCTCTCTCTGCTTGCCAGTGGACTTCACTGCCCCCTGCAGAAAGCATCCCTGAATTGCAGGTGCTAGAGACAAAAGGGCCACATTCTGCTGAAAGAGCCAATGACCTAGTCTAAGGGTGAATTTTCCTAGTTGAATGCCTGTATCAAATAGACTCTACTAAGAGTTTCAAAGCATTTAATGTACTTCTCCAAGTAGGATACAGACCCATGGAAGCTAAAGGAATTTGCTTCAAATCCTTCAGCAACACAGCAGGAGATGCATACTCCCTACCCCAACAAACCCTCTAGGTACTGTAATTGATTACTCTACCATGGGCCACAGCACAGGACCCAGCTGAGGGAACTCATTTCTCAGGGCCTCTAAAATCTCACAGAGATAGCTACCTCTCCACTTGAGTTGTTATTCAAAAGTGGAAAACATTATCTTAAGTCAGGTGTTGGCTGACTTTTGCAGTAAATAGCCAGAGATCAAATATTTCAGGCTTCGAGGGTCATATCATTCTTGTTACAACTACTCAACCCCACTGCTATAGCACAAAAGAAGCCCAGGTAATCCATGATGGGTATGGCTGTGTTCCAATATGATTTTACTTATAAAAACAGGCGGCTATCAGGATTTGGCCTGCAGGCTGAACTTGCCAACCTCTGCTCTTAGGGTTTCAGTTTTCCCTAAAAACACCCAGATTTATATATCGGCTAAATCACGTAAGTTTTAGGGCACAAACTCATTTCTGAGGGACTGACCTGTTTTCCTTCAGTACAGCAGGAACACAATCTTTCAACTATTAACCTAAAATCTTGGGAAAGTGCAGAGAAATCAGGGGTTGTTTTGTCTTATAGTTGGTCAGTGTTACTAACAGATGGAAGTGAAAATATTTCACAGATCTACAGCAAGCAGAAAAGAGAATGAATCAGGTTGAGGCAAAGAAAATCTCAGGAAAATTAAAAAGAGTGTGAGGGAGAAAAATGATACGAATATAAGCAGGCAGCTCCATCTGGCTTTAGTTAGCTGACTGGGGCAACAGACAGCTTAGTGAAACCAGGAAACAAGAGAGCTTGAAGCTGGGCCCAGTGGCTCATGTCTGTAACTCCAGTATTTTGGGAGGCAAGGGCGGGCAGATCACTTGAACCCAGGAGTTTGAGACCAGCATGGCCAACATGGTGAAACCCCATCTCTACTAAAAATACAAAAATTAGCTGGGTGTAAAAATACAAAAATCTGTAATCCCAGCTACTCAAGAGTCTGAGGCATGAGGATACTATTAACCCAGGAGTTGGAGGCTGCAGTGAGCCAAGATTGCACCACTGCACTCCAGCTTGGGCAACAGAGTAAGATTCTGTCTCCAAAAAAGAGAGAGACAGCTCGACAGCTCTCATTGGTAATGATGGAGCACCTCTTTCCAGAAAGCTTTACTTGAGGAAAAGGTATTAAGACCACATACATTAGAGACACGAGGGAAGAAAGGCAGGTGAGCTGTAGATGAGAAGCTGCCTGCAGCCTAGCAACATCTTTCCTGGGGATGTGCTCTGAGCTCCTCACCCAACTTTCCTGACTTTCTTCACTCATCTGCAGGACAGAAGAGGCAAAGCCTGATCTCCCTCTGGGATCTGAGAAGAGAGCCCTGTGGTGTGCTGCTGAGCACAGCAATGCTGAGACTGCTAACACCCTCAAGAGAGAAGGCTGGAGAGTCAGGATACAGCAGGGCTTGAGGCAGGATTCTGCTGACTTCAAGACCCCAGGGACTGGAATGGCAGAGCTAAGAAGTATCCGTGACCCTGAGGGCTGTGCTTGGACAGCTGCAGCGGCCCCTGTCCCTTCTGCAAATGAGCCTGCAAACTCTCAAAATGCAGCTAAAGTCTCAAACACTTCAAATCCAAGTACATCTTAATTTAAGGAAAAAAAAAAGGATTTCACTCTCTAAACTAGTCATTTCACCTTCCTCCTTAAAATGTGTTCATTTTCTTTTCTTTTTTCTTTTTTTGAGGCAGGGTCTTGCTTGCAGGCTGGAGTGCAGTGGCAAGATCCTGGCTTACTGCAGCCTCAACCTCCTGGATTCAATCTATCCTCCCCTCTCAGCCTCCCAAATAGCTTAACATGCTTAACATGCTTTCACAGCTTTCCATTGCCCTAATAATCAAACCCAGACTCTCTTGAGGCAAATGCACCACAACTTGCCTCAAGCCCAGCACTTTCCCATCCCTGCCAGGCCTCCAGCTTTTCCTGAGCCCTTGCCTCTCCCTCACCTCCCTCCAGCTACATAAGTCTTCTTTTAGTTCCTCATCCTTCCCTTTTAGTAATCTAATGGAATCAAATATTTATTTGCTTATTTTTTCAATGTCTGTCTCCACTGGCTAAGGGCAGTGGAAAGTTTGTTCCACACAGCTTACCTAGCACTTGACAGAGCCTCAGGTATGAAGCAGGCACTTAAATAAAATAACTGTAACTTGGGGAAAAGAAGCTCCTTTTCCCCAAGTCCTCTCTCTTCATCTAAAATGAACCCTTGGCAGCTGAGAGGCTTAAGCACGCAGGGCAGGCTGGTTAGGCTGTCCCTGGAGGTTCATTCTTGCCACTTGGCAGCTGCAGAGAGTTCTCCTGGGCCTGTCACCTCTCTACTGCCTCATATGAAAAGAGGCGATATCAACCAGTACCTTCCTCAACAGGCTACCCACTGCACAGGATAAATAAGAGAAGGTAAGTGCCTAAGATAGTTTGGTGCTCAGTATCTACTGTTTTGTTTTTTTGAGATGGAGTCTGGAGTCTTGCTCTGTCACCCAGGCTGGAGTGCAATGGCGTGACCTCGGCTCACTGCAAACTCCGCCTCCTGGGTTCAAGCAATCTCATGCCTCAGCCTCCGGAGTAGCTGGGATTACAGACACGTGCCACCATGCTGGCTAATTTTTGTATTTCCAGTAGAGACAGGATTTCACCATGTTGCCCAGCCTGGTCTTGAACTCCTGACCTCAGGTGATCCATCCGCTTCAGCCTCCTAAAGTGTTGGGATTACAGGCATGAGCTACCACACCTGGCCAATACCTACTGTTTTATTTACTTACTTTTAACTATAGAAAAGCAAATTTTAAAAAATGGCTTCAACAGGAAAAGACTGAACCACATCTGTTAACTTTTGGAAAGAGAGGAGGAGGCTAAGCCCAAGAAAACTCCACAGTTCATTGAGGTTCCTTATGTAAAACATGACCTGCTGTCAATATCTGCAAGTCACTCTGAGTTACAGAGGCAGGCTGACTCCCTCAGCACTTTGAACTTCAGAGACAGGAAGCATGATGGATGGATTCCAGGGCAACTCTAAACTGTGCAACACACTGTATAAGGCTTGTTGGCCGGGTGCAGTGGCTAACCTATAATCCCTCTACTTTGGGAAGCCAAGGTGGGCAGATCACTTAAGCCCAGGAGTTCAAGACCAGCCCAGGCAACATGGCAAAATCCTGTTTCACAAAAAATATAAAAATTAGCCGGGCATGGTGGTATGCACCTGTAGTCCCAGCTACTTGGGAGGCTGAGGTAGTAGGATCAACTGAGCCCAGGAGATCAAGGCTGCAGTGAGCTGTGGTCGCACCACTGGACTCCAGTCTGAACAACAGAGAGAGACTCCATCTCAAAAAAAAAAAAATCCTTACTGATCTTTCCTAACCCCAAATGTATGCCACGTAGCGTATATGAACCAATCTCTCCAGCCAAGGAACCTAAGAAGGGTGACCTATTCTAAAGGTCTCAGTAAATATTTTGTCGCTATAAAAACACTAATAGGCTGGGTGTGTTGGCTCACGCCTGTAATCCCAGCACTTTGGGAGGCTGAGGTGGGCAGAGCCCTTGAGGTTAGGAGTTCGAGACCAGTCTGGACAACATGGTGAAACCTTGTCTCTATTAAAAATACAAAAATTAGACAGGTGTGGTGACTCACGCCTCTAATCCCAGCTACTCAGGAGGCTGAGGCAGGAGAATCACTTGAACCTGGGCAGCAGAGCTTGCAGTGAGCCAAGATCTCACCACTGCATTCCAGCCTGGGTGACAAAGCAACACTCTGTCTCAAACAAAACACACAAACAAAAGCAACCACTTTTATATAAAAAATCCTTCTATTGTTTGTGGAAAATAATGATAACAATTTACTGGATGGTCCCAACAGTATTATTTTAATATCATATTCATTCATCTAATTCCCCCTCATTTAAAAAATCCTTTAGCAATGGTTATTAACATGTAAAAGGTTCACTTCTCCTAACCCAGTGATCCCACTTCAAGGAATTTATCCTGCAGAAATACTTCGGCAAGAGTACAAAGATGTACATATACAAGGATGCTCACTGCAGCTTTGTGAAAGGAAAAAATTAGAAATGACCCAAATGCCTAACAATAGAAGAATGGTTAAATAAAGTACATTATATGTAGGCACTAAAAAAGTGTCGCATTAAAAAGAACACACTGACACGGAAAGATGTCCAAATGATAGTAAGTTTAAAAAGCAAAGTGAAAAACAGTATGAAAAGCATAGCCCATTTTTACAAAATACTGCAAATTCTTTGTTTTTTGAAATGAGTCTTGCTTTCCTGTCCAGGCTGGAGTGCAGTGGTGTGCTCCCAGCTTACTGCAACCTCTGCTTCCCGGGTTCCAGCAATTCTTATGTCTCATCCTCCCAAGTAGCTTGGATTACAGGCATGAGCCACCAGGCCCAGCTAATTTTTAATTTTTTTTTTTTTTTTTTAGTAGAGATGGGGTTTCACCATGTTGGCTAGGCTAGTCTTGAACTCCTGACCTCAAGTTATTTGCCCACCTCAGCCTCCCAAAGTGCTGGGATTACAGGCATGAGCCACCGTGTCTGACCAAAATACTGCTAATTCTATCCAGACATATGCATGGCAAAGAAAACCTCGAAAGAGGAACAACCAAAATCTTCTCTGTGAGGGAATGAATTATGAAGGATTTTCACTTTCTATGTCAGATTTTATATTTCTAAGTTTCAATTTTATAATGAGCAAGTATTTCTTTTATAAATAGGGGAAAGGGTAGAAAATGTAAAAACAAACAAACAGAAAAAAACCTCTGTTAGCATTAGAGTCTGTCAGTACCCCAGGATTGGATCAGCCATGAGCTCCGATGGCCTGGGAGAGACCCCTACTCATGCAGTGCCATCCCACTCCCGACCTGGGCCCAAATCACAAATTGAGCTGACTTAGCACATGTCATGAGGTTGCCATTAAACAGCAGCAAGCGAAGGCACTTCAATTTCCAGTGTCAGTTACAAGGTTGGGTGATATGTTTTTCCTAAAAACACAAATGAAATTGCCTTGGAATTTGTGGTTAAGGCCTACCAATGGCATAACTGAGAGCTGACAGCCTCTCCAGCAGAATTCTAAAGCACACTCAGAAATCAAGCTCTGCTGAGTTGGGGAATGGTTTCTTTCTAATGAAACCCAGAGGATAGGGGGCAGGGGAACAGTCACTGGCAATCTGAGACAAATAAGCTGATCGTAAAATGAAAGGGGAACAGGGAAGTAAGAAAAACTGGCTGCAAAGTAGGACAGACAGACACAGAAGTTACTGGTGAAGTTACTGATACATTTACTGTAAAACTTTCCAAACGACTCATGTCACAGGCTAGATTTGTTTGTAAATCTGCCATAGCAGGTGAAATGACAGTCATCCTGTCCTCATGACTGGAACATTCTCTTCCCAGTGTCTTGACCAATATGAAAGATTCCTCTGATCTTCAGGCAGGGCTGGGGCTTCTCAGGTGGGAGTGTTTTGCCATTCTCCTCCTAACTAACAGAACCCCAATTTTGTTTTTCTGCCTTTTCCTGGTCATTCCCTGGTTATTCATGGAGCTAGGCCCATTCCCAGCCAATATCATCCTTGACCTAACTCTAGCCAATGAGATGCAAAGAGGACACCAAAAAGGGTGATTCTGTGGAGGTTTTGGTTCATCTTTAAAGGACACAGGACAGAAATATCTCTTACTGCCTGTAAACTCTGTCAAGGGTGATCAGGATGCTAGGATCACAGCAGCCATCTCTGGAATATGATGAAAAAGACAAGCCAAAGTGCTGAGGAGGGCAGAGAAGTTAAGAACCATTCAGGCCCTGACAATATTGCTGAATAGATGACAGCCAACCCTGGAACTGCCCCTCCTCCAGATGGCTTGCCATAAAAGGTAAGTGCCCTTATTGTTAGGCTACTCTGGTCAGGGTGTTCTATTACTCGTAGTCAAAACCATCCCAACACATACAAGACAGAACAGAAGCAGCCTGCTCCATCGACACCTTCTCTAATAATCTGACTTCCAAGCTTAACTGCACACCATGATTACTGAGGTAAGAGATGTCCCTACAGCCCTGTGGCAGCAACTGATTTTGCTATGCAAACCCAGGCTATCCTGTCAGTGCTTAGTGTTTGCTTTAGAGGACTTCCCTCCTACTCCATGTACTTGGAAGTAAAGGGCAGAGGGAAGACTTTCAATGCAAATCCTGGTGCTCCATCTGGACCACTGCCACCAACCAGGTGCTCACATGTCCCAGACAGAATGAATCTGTGTCCTATCCCAGAACTCATGCAGAAATGTTCAGAGTTTAAAGCCTTGGATGGGCACAGTGGCTCACACATATAATACTAGCACTTTGGGTGGCCAAACTGGGTAGATCACTTGAGCCTAGGAGTTCAAGACCAAAACCTGGGCAACAGCGAGACCTTGTCTCTAGAAAAAATTTAAAAACTAGCTGAGTATGGTGGTGTGCACCTGTAGTTGTAGCTACTCAGGAGGCTGAAATGGGAAGATCATTTGAACCCAGAAATTCAAGGCCGCAGTGAACTAAGAAGGTGCCACTGTACTCTAGCCTGGGTGACAAAGCAAGACCCCTGTCTCAACAATCAAATAAAAAAACAGGCCAGGTGTGGGGCTCACACCTGTAATCCCAGCACTTTGGAAGGCCATAGTGGGTGGATCACCTGAGGCCAGGAGTTCGAGACCAGCCTGGACAACATGGTAAAACCTGGTCTTTACTAAAAATACAAAAGTTAGTGGGGCATGGTTGTGCACACCTGTGGTCCCAGCTACTCCAGAGGCTGAGGCAGGAGAACTGCTTGAAGTTGGGAGTTGGAGGTGCAGTGAGCTGAGATTGCACCACTGCATTTCAGCCTGAACAACAGAGCAAGACTCCACCTCAAAAAAAAAAAAAATCAGTAAACAAACAAAAAAATGCCAAAGTTAAAAGCCCTGTGCCTGCTGGGACTATAAACTGAGATAAACTGAAACTAGGAATGATGGTACTCATCTCCCCAGTGGTGGCACGTGGGGAGAGTCTACGGAACAAGATCAACATACAGAGTCACAGCTATCATCATAGCCCAGAGGACCCCATTGAACATACAGATCAAGCCACACCTGAAACCTTGTTGTCCCAGTCACCTGAGGCAATAAAGTCTGTTTTTTGTCTGTTTGTTTTTTATTTAAGACAGGGTCTTGCTTTGTCCAAAGGGGAGTGCGGTTGTGCAATCGTGGCTCACTGCAGCCTCGACCTTCCTGGCTCAAGTGATTCTCTTACCTCAGCCTCCTGAATAGCTGGGACTACAGATGCATGTCACCATGCTTGGCTAATTTTTTTTTTTTTTTTTTTTTTTTTAAGACAGGGTCTCACCATGTTGGCCAGGATGGTCTGGATCTCCTGACCTCGTGATCCACCCACCTTGGCCTCTCAAATTGCTGGGATTACAGGCATGAGCCACTGCACCCAGCCCTGCTTGGCTAATTTTCAATATTTTTACTCTACCCCTGTGGGGTTTCACCATGTTGCCCAGGCTGGTCTCAAACTCCTGGGCTCAAGCAATCTGCTGCCTCACTGCCTCAGCTTCTGAAAGTATTGGGATTACAGGTGTGAGCCACCATGCCTAGCCCTGTTATTGTTTAACGTAGTTTGAGTTGGGTTTCTGCCATTTTCTTTTTCCTTTTTTTTTTTTTTTTTAAGAGACAGGGTCTTGATCTATCAGCCACGCTGACTGTAGCGGCATGATCACAGCTAACTGTAGCCTTGACCTCCTGGGCTCAAATGATTTTCCTGACTCAGCCTCCCAAGTAGCTGGGATCACAAGTGCATACTACCAAACCCAGCTAATTTTTTTTTTTTTTCCGAGATGGAGTCTCACTCTGTCACCCACGTTGAAGTGCAGTAGTGTAACCTCTGCCTCCCGGGTTCAAGTAATTCTCTATTCTCATGCCTTAGCCTCCCAAGTAGCTGGGATTACAGGTGTGCACCACCATGCCCAGCTAATTTTTTGTATTTTTAGTAGAGATGGGGTTTCACCATGTTGGCCAGGCTGATCTTGAACTACTAACCTCAAGTGATCTGCCTGTCTAGGCCTCTCAAGTGCTGGGATTACAGTTATAAACCACTTTGCCCCACCTATTTTCTTATGACTATAAGAATCCTAACTAAAATCACCCTAATCTATTCACACCTAGCCATATCTAGAAGCCTTCACTGCCTCTGGGTGCTCCTCATTCTCAGATCTCTCTCATTTCGACTTCCTTTTCTCTCCAGCTCAGCTTCCACCTCTGCGCAAACCTACCAGAGGGTAGCTGTCCACCAGCAGGTCAGGGCTGTTACAGAAGTCATCTGAGTCATGCTTCAGAGCAGGCCTCCAAGGCTGCCTCATACAGCTCCATGGCTGGGCGTGGGCCTCTCCACCCCTGCCCCACACACACCAGAGCTTCATCCTTCCCCTTTCATTCGCCTCCCACTGCCTTGATGCTATTTCCAAGGCTGGGTCGTAGGACTGTGGATGTTACTTAGATCTGGAAAAGCAGGTTTAAGCAGCCCACTTACTTAATTATACTGCTCAGCATGTTCTCACATGCAAATGGATGGGTGGAATGCTTCCCATAAACTCACTAAGTTTAAGGTGGACAGCACAAGTGAGGCAAGAACATGAAACAGAATTATGCTATATACATAGGCAGGTATATCTGTGTACACATCAAACATAAATGACACATGTTCTGTACAGTATTATACGTGTAACTCTTGTAGTGTGTAACCACACGGGGTAGAGTAATGCCTACAAGTCACAAAGGAGGTGCTCTGCAGCAGCAGCTGAGGCTCTGCTCTGAGAAAACCTGATAGGCCTACAGCCAATCTTATAAAATATTTACAGTAAGGGGCAATTACTTACACTATAAAAAGATTCTTGGCCAGGTACGGTGGCTTACATCTGTAATCCCAGCACTTTGGGAGGTTGAGGTGGGCAGATCACAGGTCAAGAGATTGAGACCATCCTGGCCAAAATGGTGAAACCCTGTCTCTACCAAAAATATAAAAATTAGCTGGGTATGGTGGCATGCGCCTATAGTCCCAGCTACTCAGGAGGCTGAGGCAGGAGAATCATTTGAACCCAGGAGGCATAGGTTGCAGTGAGACAAGATTGTACCACTGCACTCGAGGCTGTCGAGAGAGCAAGACTCCGTCTCAAAAAAAAAAAAAAAAGATTCTTCACCTTATTAAGAGATTTACTACAAGGTCCCACTAAACTGGATGAGCTCTAGTGGACTTAGAATATGGATTGATTTGCATAAGACTTCACAGGCAACTATGTAAATTAACTACAAAAAAACAAGAAGCCACATCTGAACTTAACGTTTTTGCCTATATAATACGATGTACAAAGTAAGGCAATTTTATTTATATCAATATCACTGATTTTCTGTGTAAGATAATGCCTCCAAATGTCATCACGTCAGCTCAGGCCACACATCTGATTCAGAGACAAGCAAGACATTTGCTAATAGTTTTGCTGTTAAATAGGGTCATTACTGTCATTGAAAAAAAAAAGACCAAGATACCCACCTTCATGATCCATATAAAGTTTTAAAAGACTGAATAATGATAATGATAAAGATAATGATAATGAATAATGGGGTTTCACCATGTTGGCCAGGTTGATCTTGAACTCCTAACTTCAAGTGATCTGCCTGACTAGGCCTCCCAAAGTGCTGGGATTACGGGTATGAGTCATTGTAAAACTTATATAGTACGTACTGCATACTAGGCATGTTCTAAGTGTTTTACGGGTATTAACTCACTTCATCCTCTCAATAACTTCATGTGGTAACTATTATCCCTGCTGCATAGCTGAGCAAATGGACAAACGTGTTGCCCAAGGAGGCAGTAACTGACAGAGCCAATATGAATGCAGGCTGTCTGGGTCAGGAGGCCATGCTCTTAAACCACCACACTATGCTGCTGCCTTGATCTGGCAGTCACAGGCAGATGGAGAACAGTTCAGGCGAGAGAAGTGGAGATGGAGGCCTACTTAGGCTATTAGCAATAAGTTCAGGCCCACAGTGCTAAGGACCTAACTATGCAGTGAAATCAAACAACCAAAAAAAAAGAGTGGTGTTGTTGGAAGTCAGGAGAAGGTAAGAGTATTGACTAAAAGGAGACATAAGACACGTTTCTGGAGAACTGGTTTGTTTCACAGTTTAGATGCTAGTTACATGGGTGTATATAGTTTGTGAAAACTCATCAAGCTGTATAGTTATATGTACTTTTTTTTGGTTTCGTTTTTGAGACAAAGTTTCACTCTCACTGCCCAGGCTGGTGTGCAATGGCATGATCTCAGCTCACTGCAACCTCTGCCTCCTGATTTCAAGTGATTCTCCTGCCTCAGCCTCCTGAGTAGCTGGCATTACAGGTACCCACCACCACCACACTCAGCTAATTTTTATATGTTTAGTAGAGACAGGGTTTCACCATGTTGGCCAGGCTGGTCTCAAACTCCTGACCTCAGGTAAACCAGCTGCCCTGGCTTCCAAAGTGCTGGGATTACAAGCATGAGCTATCACACCTGGACTGTTCCTTTTTTTTCTTTTCCTTTTGATGGAGTTTTACTCTTGTTGCCCAGGCTGGAGTGCAGTGGCACAATCTCGGCTCACTGCAACCTCTGCCTTCTGGTTTCAAGCGATTCTCCTGCCTCAGCCTCCTGAGTAGCTGAGATTCCCACCACCATACCCAACTAATTTTTATATTTTTAGTAGAGACAAGGTTTCACCATGTCGGCCAGGCTGATCTCGAACTCCTGACCTCATTATCCGCCCACCTTGGCCTCCCAAAGTGCTAGGATTACGGGCATGAGCCACCATGCCCGGCCTTTTTTTTTTTTGTTTTCTTCTTCTTTTGAGACAGGGTCTCTGTCATCCAGGCTGGAGTGCAATGGTGCCATTACTATTCACTGCTGCCTGTACTTTCCAGGCTTATGCACACTCCTCCCACCTCAGCCTCCTGAGTAGCTGGGACCACAAGCACACATCACCACAATGGCTAAGTTTTAAATTTTTTTGTAGAGACAGAGTCTCCTTATGCTGCCTAGGCTAGTCTTGAACTCCTAGGAGTAAGCCAACCTCCCACCTTGGCCTCCTAAAGTGCTGGATTACAGGCATAAGCCATTGTGTCTGGCTAAGAGCTGCCATTCAGAGCTATACTGTCTGGGTTCAAATTTGCCTTTATACTCACTAGAGGTGTGATCTTGAACATGCAGCTCAACCTGTCTGTGTTGTCTTGCTTTCTGCAACTGAAAAGCTGGCATATCACAGTGCCTAATTCATAGGCTTGTCTACATATTCCATGATCACTTGAACTGGCATGCAGAGCACAAGTTCAAATGTTAGTCTTATTCTCATCATCATTTAGGCTCATAGCCATGGTATCCTATCTTAAATCAGTTACCATTTACTTTTCTTTACCATTTTCCCATTATTTAAATAATATATTATTATTTCCTGCCATATTCTAAAAAAAATTCAAAGTAGATTTGTTTTACCTGTCTTTTTTTTTTATTAGTTATCATTAGTTTATTATTAAAAGAGAGATATGGAAATTGTTTATATGATGAAAGATTTTAGAACTTCAGTGGAATGCACAGCTTCACAGTGATACCATTTCAAGAGTGATTTATTTCAGTGTACGTACTTTCGTCACCATCTCTAAATAGGAAATAATCCTTGTCATCTAGAACTACTTTGGTGCATCCATATTCTGGGAGAAGAACTTTATCTCCAACTTTCACACTAACTGGTTGAATCTCTCCACCCTTTCCTTTAGAACCTGATCCAACAGCAACTACTGTTGTTTGCAATACTTTTCCTTGAGATTTTTCTGGAAGCATAATGCCTTCTTTGGTTATAGTTTCAGCAGCACTTCTTTCAACCAATACTCGGTCAAAGAGTGGAAGAGACTTTCTAAATGCTTGTCCTGCCATGACTCTCTCCACCTCAGACTCTGCTCTGGGACACCACCGCAAGGTGAGGCCTGCAGTCCAGCCCTCGTGACATGTGAAAAGCTTACCTGTTATTTAAATAGTACAATCATATTACAGAAAATCTGGAAAATAGAAAGTCAAATATTACACTTTTAAGAGTGTAGTCACCCTGTCTTGTTCTGATGTCCCTAAAGTGACCCGCAACACAAACTACAGCAGGCACATTATAACCACCGGAAGTGGGGCCATCAGGTACAGAAAGGGCCTGCAGAGCACATACTAGTCAACATATAATCAACAAACAGCCACAACTTTTATTTTGTTTTGAAAATTTCCAATCCTATAGAAAAGTTAAAAGAACGATGCAATGAATCCCTAAATGCCACTCACCTAGCTTCACAAGTTGCTACGTTTTACCACATTTGCTTTATCTTCTCTTCACATGCAGATGTTTTATTTTTTGACAACTAAATCAATTGAATCATTTGACAATTAGGTTAAAGACATCAGGTCATTTTATCCATTAATACTTTAGCCTTTATCTCCTAGCAACAGGGACATTATCCTATATAACCATAATTCCATAATCCATCCAGGGAATTGCACAGTAGTACAGTACTATTAAGTAATATACAGTATTTTTCCAATTGTCCTTAAAAGCTCATATTTTTCCAATTGTTCTTAAAAATGACCTTTTTTCTTTCAATTTCAGGATCTAATCGAGGATCAAGAGTGCATTTAAACAGCTATGTTTCCTTAAATGTAGAATAGCCCCAGCCCCTTGTCTTTTTATGTCTTTCATAGCATTGGAGTGTATGTGTGTGTGTATTTATTTTTTTTTTTAGGTAGGGTCTCAGTGTGTTGCCCAGCTTGGAATGTGGTGGTGTAAATCATGGCTCACTGCAGCCTCAACCTCCTAGGATCAAGTGGTCTTCCTACCTCAGCCTCCCAAGTAGCTGGGACTATAGGCATGCCACCCTGCCTGGCTAATCTTTAATTTACCGGGTCCTGCTTCATTGCCCAGGCTGGTGTCAAACTCCTGAACTCAAGAGAGCCTCCTGGTTCAGCCTCTCAAAGTGCTGGGATTATAGCATTGACATTTTTCAAGAATATAGGCATTTGTCTTGTAAAGTACCTCACGATCTGGATTTGTCTCTTTATAATTTGATTCAGGTTAAACATTTTTGGGAAAATGCTATATAGCTGATATTACATACCTTATATTGCAACACATAAGAAGGTACATAATAATAATTTGTTCCATTATTAATGTTATGTTTCACAACTATTGTGAACTATTATTTATATATATATATAATTTTGAGATGTAGTCTCTGTCACCCAGGCTGGAGTGCAGCAGTGCAATCTTGGTTCATAGCAACCTCCGCCTCCTAGCCTAATTTTTTTTTTTTTAAAGACGGGGTTTCACCATATTGGTCAGGCTGGTCTTGAACTCCCGACCTCAGGTGATCTGCCCACCCTGGCCTCCAAAGTGCTTGGATTACAGGAGTGAGCCACTACACCTGGACTTTCATTCATTCATTCATTCATTCATTCATTCATTCATTCATTTTTCCAGGCTAATTTTTGTATTTTCAGTAGAGACGGGGTTTCACCATGTTGGCCAGGCTGGTCTTGAACTCTGTCCTCAGGTGATCTGCCTGCCTCGGCCTCCCAAAGTGCTGGGATTACAGGTGTGAGCCACTGTGCTGGCCTGCCCTAGTCTCACTTCTGGCTACCTCGACTAGAGCCCTGCAGGAAGGTTTGGAAATCAGCATGTTGACAAGCTCCTCTTGGGGGGGTCAATGGGCAGCCAGATTTAGGAAATCCTGCTTAGAGAAGACCCACTGTAGCCTCCATGAGGGGACCATCCCACAGGGCACACAATAGTAAGTGGTAGTTATGGATCTGCCCCATGTGCCAACAACTGACTCCCACAGGTGTGAAATGCAGGCAGAGGGGTTCAACCTAGACAGGTTTATTGTACCCCAAATGTATAACCTACTCAAGGTTTAAAAAAAGAAGTCACTGTAACTAGAGAAGCTACCAGATCTATGGTTCTCTAAATTTAGTCTCTACCAGAAGCACCAAGGAACATCACTCCCAAAGATTCTGAGTCAGACATCTGCAATGGGGGCCTAGGAATATGTGTTTGCAACAAGCTCTCCAGGTAGTTGAGGCAGGTGGTAGAAGGACCATGATTTGAGAGACCCAGGCTTGCTCTGCACTTTATCCACGAGAGTCCAAGAGCAAAAGAGTTGGGGAAAAGTATCTTGGCCTTCATTTGAAGTCTACTTACAAAACCAAAGAAACAAAATCTGAGGTCAGATGGGAAACGCTTCTGAGCAATTAGCCACACAGAAACATATCATATCAGATGACATGAAAACAATCCTCCATGAAACAAAAGGGTGTAGGGTGGCAGAACATAACACAGAACTTGCTGCTGGAGGGCACAGGGGAGTACCCCTCTCTGCCATGGCCCAGTTGGCTTTCCACCCTGGAAACACCGGGGAAAACAAGCAACCTTCATGGCAGAATTGGGGTCACTCCCAGGAAAGACTACTCCACAGACATGAAAATATACCGGCTAGTACTCAAAGTCGACCAAGTTCACAGCAAAAGGACCAGCAAAGCAGCCAGCCCTGGGCTCCTACCTGACTGGAACACATATCGTGCCAAGCCCTGCATTAACTCTGCGGGCCATGTTGGTGGGGCAGACTCCCCAGTTTCTCTCTTCAGACGAAAGGTCAACTCAAAGCCAAAACCACTAGGTCCATCTGTTCCTGTAAACCTGAAAGACATAAAAAGCAAATGTTTTAAGCTCTGTTACCTTAGGAAAAACACTGTCTTGAAAGTCTAAAGTTCTCCCCTTTTTTATGGTGACCTCAGTATCCAAACCCTCCATTCAGAGGAGTATCCCAGGATGTAAGCCTTGTTGGGAGGGAACATCAAAAGCCTGTAAGGAACCAGAACTCTTGCCTTGTCGTCCTGCCAGCTCTGGGTTTATGGATGTGACCTTGGCCTGGCCAAGTTCTACTGCTGGCACTCTGAATTAAGAATTCCAAATGTTGTGGCTCTGGAACATGCCTATCTGGATGATTGAGGCAACACTGCTGAAAATCTCCCTTGTTCATGCTCCATATTCCTTCAAGCTGTTAATAGGCATCTACTTTGTTTGCTAAGGAAACATGGCCTATGAGCCACAAGGCTATATGCTCTGTGATATGGTTTGGCTCTGCGTTCCCACCCAAATCTCATCTTGAATTGTAATCCCCATAGTTCCCACATGCCAAGGGAGGAACCAGGTGGGAGATGACTGGATCATGGGGGCGATTTCCCCCATGCTGTTCTTGTATAATGAGTGAGTTCTCACAAGATCTGATAGGTTTATAAGGCAGTTTTCTCTGCTCTTGCCCACTCTCTTTTGCCTGTTGCCCTCTTCCCCTTCCATCATCTGTAAGTTTCCTGAGGCCTCCCCAGCCATGTGGAATTGTGAGTCAATTAAACCTCTTTTCTTTATAAATTACCCAATCTCAGGTTATGTCTTTATAGCAGCGTGAGAACGGACTAATAGACTGTGAGGATAAGACCCTTTCTCTACTCCCATAAGGATACAACCTTGGGTGGCACTGGCTGGCCTCCAAACTCAGCATTTGTGGACAGGCTCCAAGGCAGATTACAAATACTGGGTGGGACCATATTCTTCCTGAAACTCAGCACCCAACACACACTCCTCAACTACCACATGCTCTTCCTGAAACCTGGCACTCCACATGCACTCTTCAATTGCTGGAACCCTAGAGAAGCATGGGTTGCCCTCCCTTCCCATCCCTCAGTGACCCAGAATGATGAGGATGACTGTTTCTGTGGCCACAACTCATTAAAGTGACAATGAGAGAAGGCAGGAGTCCCTGCCTCCTTGTTTGCACGAAACACTCAGGAGCCCCAAGTCTCAGAGAAGTCCCCGTAAGGGACTACATCAGAGAGGGCAATGACATGGATCGGAGAGCAGGGCCCGGATGGCACGGTGCCATACCTTGGGTAAGGAAAGCATCCAGGGAGAGCTACATGACGCTTGCCAGCATGGGAAGGTTAAATTTAAAATACATTCATGATATAATTTTCAGTAATTATATCTTGTACAAACATGAGCCATAATGATTATACACATGTAAACTCATCAGCATACAAATACAAACCATAAACTAAGATGACAGCTAACCAAGCTCCTGGAACAGCTGATCATAGATGAGAATTCACAAGGGCTGATGATGTAGTCAATGCCCAACCCTGGAATTCCACATGGCATCTTTCCTTCATCATCATGACCCCTGAGAGGCAAGGCCAGGAGATGGGATAGAAAGAGATTCCCAAGTCTTAGAAGCCTAGTTTTCTGTGCGTGGGTGAACCCAGCCCTCTTGCACTTTGCAGGGAAAGATCACCTCTGAGAAGCTAAGTTCTCTAATGGATTAAAAAGGAATCATCAGAAGTTATCATGATCAAGCCCTATGTATTTATGTATGTATGTATGTATGTATATATATAGCCATCTATCTATCTGTCTATCTATTTTTTTGAGACAGGGTCTCACTCTGTTACTCAGGCTGGAGTGCAGTGGTGTGATCTTCAGCTCATAGCAGCTGTGAACTCCTGGGCTCAAGTGATCCTCTTGCCTCAGCCTCCCAATTTTTTTTTTTTTTTTTTAGTAGAGGTAAGGTCTCCCTATGTTACCCAGACTGGTTTCGAATTCCTGTGCTCAAGCAATCCCCTGGCCTTGGCCTCTCAAAGTGTTAGGATTACAGATATAAGCCACCATGCCCAGCCTATTTATTTATTTTTGAGACAGCATCTTGCTCTATACAGTGGTGTGAACATGGTTCACTGTAGCCTTGACCTCCCGGGCTCAAGCAATCCTCCCACCTCAGCCTCCTGAGTAGCTGGAACCACAGGTGTGCACCACCATGCCCAGCTAATTTTTAAAAATTTTGTACAGACAGGATCTCAACACATTGTCTAGGCTAGTCTTGAACTCCCAGGCTCATGCCCCGGCCTCCCAAAGTGCTAGGAACACAGGCATGAGCCACAGCACCTGGTCCAATTATATTTAAAGGAAGTATCCACAGTTTGCATTTTATCCAGGTATATGTAGCAAGAGGGGAAACAGAATCCATTTTGAGGGCACAAACGTGGAATTTTGGAGAGCAGGCCAGCAGAAGATGCTTGGACACACAATGTAAGCTACTTTATTTCCTTGAAGTACCCTGTTTGGGGTCAATTCAGTGCAGGGAGGCTAAGGGAACAGCCACCAAACTCTAAGTTGGAAAAGCTACCTCTCTGGAGCTGCAGGTTTGGGAGGGGTGTGAAAACCTGGGGTAATGCCAAGACTGACTAGAGTTAAAACTATGCAAAGGAAGATGGGTCATTAGGGCAAAGGGAAGATTTTAAGCAGCCACCAATTAGAGGCAGCTTTGTTAAATGTATTAAACCATTACTCCAAGGCTTTCATCTTGGGCCAAGAAAAATACATGATTTCTAACCACAAAAACTTGAGAAACAGGCTAAAAGAAATTTGTTCCTCTTCAGCTGTACAATGGGGAGAACCCTCAAATCAGAGAGAGAAAAATCACTGGATCGGATGCATTCACACAGCACTACCTCACTAAGGAGGGGCTGGGTGCACACGCACCTAGAGCTGTGCATGTGTGCACACGCACATGTCCACCATCTGCCTCCACACGGGGTGCTTTCTGGGCCACCTCTGTGGTGGGCAGGCCAGCCCTCACTTGGCTGGGTGGGAGGAACAGGCCTGGCCAGATGGTCTCCACCTGCATTTGATTACCACCCACAGCCTGGCTGGAAGCAACCTCTAAACTCTGAAACATGAATTTGGAATGGCCCAGTCTCAGGATAAACACACGACCTGAAGCCTGTCAGAAGTTCTCTTTTTCAAAGCAGATTGCCTGAGCAATCGCCAAGTGACAAGGTCATTCCATCTTTAAAGTCTCCTGGAGGGGCTTGGCTTGATCTGGACTTGCTCGAGTAAGGGCTTCTCTAGCCAAAGTGGTTTTGTCTGAACAGAGAATGAAGCCCCTCCTAGGGAGCAGCTGTCTCTCACATCTTTGAAGAAAGCAAAGCATGAGAGGAAATTGGCGTGTGCTGCAGGAGGTAGGATCTGGGTTAGGGCAAAGCATTTTTCTAACACAGAAGTCTACTAAAATACTGGCTGATAGTAAATGTGGCCAGTGGAATTTCTTCCTACAGAAATTAAAAAAAATAATAAAGGAAAGATTCTCCCCAGATTGGTAGAGTGGGGTAAGGGGCCCTAACTGTCTTATTCCAAAAGGATGAATGAGATAAGACTCTCAAGACTGTTTCGGGATCAAGAATGCTTGATCCTGTTCACAGGGTGTCTGGGGGAAGGCTGGCTTTGTCCCAGCAGTTTGGCAAGTCTGCCTGATGGCTGTGGCAACCTCAAGAGTAACATCAAACCTGCAGACAAGAACACACACCTTGAATCCTAGACATATAGCAGTCTGACCATCGGAACTCACCCAGAAGGGTCCCCCAAAGTACCTAAGAAGGCATCAATCAGCATCCAAGAGCCCAAAATGACGGCTGAGTCTAGGCAGGAGATGAAGAGAAACTGAGGAGAGACTTTCTATAGGAAACACACCTGGGGTGCAGAAAGAGCTGACCCAAAAGTCAGCATCTCAGGCTCAACACCATTATTTATTTATTTATTTATCTATGAGATGGAGTCTCACTCTGTCACTCGGCTCGCTGCAGCCTCTGCCTTCTGGGTTCAAGCAATTCTCCTGCCTCAGCCTCCTGAGTAGCTGGGATTACAGCTGTGCACCACCACACTCAGCTAATTTTTGTGTTTTTATTAAGAGAGAAGGTTTCATTATGTTGCCCAAGCTGGTCTCAAACTTCTGACCTCAGGTGATCTGCCCGCCTCTACCTCCCAGAGTGTTGGGATTACAGGTGTAAGCCACTGCACCCAGCCCATTATTTACTATTATAAGGAAATGCAAATCAAAACCAGTGAGCTACCACTGCTCCACACCCTTTAGCATAACTAAGAGACAGATAATAAATATGAGAGAGGATCTGGAGAAACAGGAATATTCACACATCATTGTGGGGGGGAATATAAAATGATGGAGCTACTTTGGAAAAACAGTTTGGCAGTTCCCAAAAAAGTTAAACAGTCACCATATGACCCAGCAGTTCCACTCCTAGGTATATGCCCAAGAGAACTGAAAACCTGGCTGGGCGTGGTGGCTCATACCTGCAATCCAGCACTTTGAGGGGTGGTGAGGTGGATGGTCCACTTGAGCTGGGGAGTTTGAGACCAGCCTAGGCAACATGGCCAAACCCTGTCTCTATTAAAAAAAGATACAAAAATTAGCCAGGCGTGATGGCTCACACCCGTAGTGCCAGCTTCTTGGGTGGGGGTGTGGAGGCAGCGGGAAAATCACCTGAGCCCAGGGATGTCAAGGCAGCAGTGAGCCTTGGATGGTGCCACTCCAGCCTGGGCAACAGAGTAAGGCTCTTTCTGAAAAAAAAAGAAGAAAAAAGAAAACCTGTTCACATAAAAACGTATATACCAATGTTCATAGCAGCATTATTCATAGTAGCTAAAAATAGAAACAATCCAATGTCCATCAATTGAGGAATGGATAAAATGCAGTATATCTGTACAATGGAATATTACTTGGCGATAAAAAGGAATGAGGTATGGGTACACTATAACATGGATGACCTTGAAAACATCATGCTCAGTGAAAG